GGGATTGGCCGCCTTGAATTCTTTGTGGGTTTCCCTAATAGATCTCGTCATAAATCGCTTCGTGACGAAGACTTCCTGACCATCAATAAAAAGCCTTACGACATCCTTTTTGTTCGGGATTTGTCTTGAGCAGTCTTTCGCATGTGATGTGTAGTAAGTCAACGCAAGAGCGACATCGTTTTCGTTGAGAGCATGTCCTTGGTATGGGTCAGGAGACGCCCAGACCCCCTTTTTTTTCAGCTTTCTTGATTGGTCAAAAGCATGCTTCGTCACTTCAGGAATTGCTTTCAGGATATCTTTCTTTTTGAGGTTAGATGGAAAGAGAGTTAAGAGGCGGTAGCGTTTTACCTGCGACGTGCTCTTGACGTAGGCTGCTCGTAAATTGCTGACCCAGTCGGAGCACGAGGAGCATGGATCTTCTTTGTCTGTGCCCGTAGGTTCTCCGTACACGTCACTTAGTTTACGACCAATTTTCTTTTTGAAGTCCGCGGTTATCTCGGATTTTTTTCGCTTAACATAGCCGGTACGACTTCGTGGGGTCACGCTAGAAGGGAGTTTAAGTGGTGTCACACTTACTTCGGCAGCATCAATTGCTTCAGACACTCCTTGGACCAGGGCTTCCTCGTCAACGAATGATCTGTCCGCTGGTTTCAGGGATGATGACGATGAGATTGATGACAACATTTCCTGTCCTTGCCTATGTTCTTCAATCTGACCCTAAAACATTGTGTAGCCGTTATTGCACAGAACATCTCCAGGGCTTACGCGCTGGGCGTCCTCAGCCGGTAGAACTTGCTTAAGAAAACTTAGGTTTAGCTCCGAGACTTGACGAAAATGGCGTCCGTAAAACACTATTCTCTTGTGTCTCCTTGAATAGTCGGCGCACACTTTCCGGTTTGAACTGAATAATGTATTAGCCATGGCAGTAACGAACACTTCTGGCTTTCTGAAACCAGGAGCAGTTTTAAGTTCATCCAGCTCAGACAGCACAGAGGTAGAATGAGTACCAGCTTTCCACCGTGGCTTAGGAATTCAAGTAAAGAGCCAGAAAGGTACCGAGAAGGCTATTATCAGTTAGAAGACGTGCGAAGATTCGGCTTCCTTTGGGTCCCCAATCTTCCCGTCGATCCATACTTAAACATTCGCTCTCCGCCTTGCGCGTAATCTGAGTGCCACGCAGCAGCGGCGTCTCTTTTAGTGCCCGCGGATTAGTGGCACGGTTGTGTTAAGGGGTGTCCAAACAGCACACTATAAAACGCACGACTCCGACAAATCGTGAAAATTGAAGCGGGCGTGAAGCGGGCGCGTCCGCTTCAATTTTCAAGATTTGTCGGAGTCGTGCGTTTTGTAGCGTCCTGTTTGGACACCCCTTTAGAAGGACGAGGAGGGGAGCTTGGAGAGACAGAGGGGGGCTTGCGACGTAGGCTCTAACCTCTAAACGCCTGTTCTCCCGACAATCAGGTTTTCCGTGTCGGTCGCATCCAAAGGCATAATCCTTAGAGGCTCCAGGACCCCGACGAAAATAGAGGCGGTAGCCCCGTGATGTTCAAGATGAAGTATTCTATACACGCCGCCTGAAGGGGTGCCCAAACCGGACACTACAAAACGCACGACTCCGACAAATCGTGAAAATTGAAGCGGGCGCGAAGCGGGCGCGTCCGCTTCAATCTTCACGATTTGTCAGAGTCGTGCGTTTTGTAGTGTCCTGTTTGGACACCCCTTGACTGGGGTGGCATCTGTAAAATTTCGGAGCCGAAAGCCAAAGGCCTCAGAGGACTTCTCTAACGATCTGCATTCCCCCGTATTGGGAAAAAAGATGCGCTCGCACTTGTGAATACGGACTGCTAAGTAACTGTTTTTTGAAGAACACTACTCAAAACTTTTTTCAATGTTTATGGTTGGATATTAGGTAACTGCTAGCGATAAATAGAAAACCTTATATAGGCCAAAATCTGCTCAGCAGAGCGCCTGTGCGAAGTCCCGTTCAAAACGCTCATAGCACGAGATTCGAGTCTTAATAGCGGCCATACAAACAATATATTACAATTTCTGTCGGTAGTTCCTGATAGACTACTATATTAACTAACTGTGAATAAAAAATGAAAAAAATAAAACGTGGTTTTTTTTAGAAAATCGACTTCAAACTTGCCAGTTTTTCGAAATATTCGTTTTTCAGGCACATGTAGCGCATTATATACTTGTGGCAAAATGTTGAAATTATACTCAAAAGAAAGAGCATAATCGGTTCTTTACGGTGATATAAAAATTATAAACATATGTTGATTAGGTCACACAGCGCAGCTTGCTGAACTTCGTCAAATATCGTCACAGAGAGGCGGTTTGACAAATAAAAAAAAATCATTAAGAATGTTATGACCTAGACGCTTAATTAGCATGAAAAAGCCTATGTCTAGAGTGTTCCCAAAAAGTTATATTGATGTAGCGTAAAAAGTAGGGAAAAGGGATGGAGTGAAATATGCCACCTCCGATAGGCTGGAAAAACATCAATTTCCACCTTGACCGCTTCAACGGTCCATAACTTGAGAAAGAAAAATCCGACGAAATAACCGTTTGCTTCTTCTTTTATTATAGGAATTGCCCCAAAAGATATATTTTTTTCGTCAAAATTAAAAATTCGACCCTAAATCCGTGCCTGAGTTGAGATGAAATCACCCATAATATTTAATTACTCCCCGAATATTTAACATAAAAAGAGCCGATACCTTAAAGATTAACAAATAAATGCACCCACAACTTATCTGAAAGATGCTATGCATATCTTTTCTGGCGTTTTTATCATCGATAAGAACGTGTAAAGGTGATTTGGGAGAGCCTTAATCAAATTTTTGGTTGTGAAGTTGATTTCAACAACTGTCTTCCTGACACATATGTAACTTCTCAAACATATATAAGTATTGCCCCTTTTATGTGATAGACAGCTTTTTTTGTGTGTCTGTGGGGTGGACAAAAACAAAGTACACGGGAGCGCGTGGCGGAACTACATGGCGATTACACACGCAGACCGTCAGAAAGTGACGAATTAAGTAGCTGCCATGTTGAGTAGAGCATAATATACTGCTTAGTTATGTTTAACAAAAAAATCGTCAGTTAGCAAGGGTGGCACTCATTTGCCAATTGAATTGACCGGCGGAAGAAGTGTCTGGACGACAAGCGTCCATTTTTCCTCCGCTCTCTTCGTTTGCTGTTTAAACAACACAACAAGAAAAACTTCGACTTAAGAGGTAATTTGATAACTACCAACATTAACGGACAAAGCAAGGCGGTGGAGGCCCGTCTCCCCCTCCATGACGTTTTCCAACCCTATTTACTATGACCAACTTAATCGATTCTTCCAGCTGGTTGTTCAGCCCTTCTTACACACCAAGAATGGAGGACTCTGGAGAAACACCTGAGAAAAAATTATGTCTGTCCTCGGGCGATGCAAGCACTTCCAACTTCTCACTAGGAGACTAAATTGACATTGATCTTGACGAGAAAGCTTTCACAACAGTGACATACCACAAAAAACGCACTGAAGGCATCGCCATCGGCTTCAAGTCAACGAAAGCACAGTCTTTCTGGCAAGTAAACCCTAACCGTATAACAAACGAAATTGTCACCACAGCACAAGAGGAAGTGAACTCACATAAAATCACTAACGATAGAAGCCTTGTGGTAAGCGTTGCCTCTTCGTCGTCAGCAAATAAGCCTTTAGCTTTAAAAGCTGTTGCTGGAATTGATGTCGCGGAAAATGTGCCACAGTCTTACTCAAAGAGTCTGGGAAAGATAAAAAAAATGTTCCAAATAAGTACACTGATGAACAACTCCTGAGTATCTCACGGACAAAGAGTCTGCAAACCGGAAAATCGTTTACGTACTTCAAGGTGACGAAAGTGTCGTCAAGCATCCACGGGATAGCGTCATCTTACAACTTACGGAAGATTGCCCAATGCCCACGCGAGGTTTCCTATGATTCACCAGTTACCCGGTGGAACAATACTTTGGACAGACGTTAGGCTGTTTCGGCTGCCAAAGGCATGGACACGTGGCTAATGCGTGTCGCGGACCACAGCAATGCAAGGTGTGTGCAGGCCCACATAACTATAAAGAATGCTGCTCAAGAAACCATCCCAAGTGCGCAAACTGTGGTTGACCACATGCTGCATCATTCGTGGGTTGTGTGCGAAACAAAGAGATAGGAGCATTACGCGAACACGAACTGATTCACGTCAAGACGACTAAGCGTAATTCGCCACCGCCAAATCCACGGGCAGTGAGACCTGTGGCTTCTCCGCCTCCAAAACCAATGCAGAAAAGATCAAGGTATACCTACGCTGAAGCCATCGGAGCTGCCGGACCAGGGGCACCACCACCAGAGGCACCGCCGGTACCGCACCCACCACCGATACCACTACGGCTTCCTAGACGAAGCACTGGGCGGTGACCTTGTTGACGCAGTGATAACTGCGCTGTATTACTGATTCAACTCTGATACACGGCTGCCTTAGTGCTAAGTTGTATTCAAGTCGGCGCTGAGTTAGCGTTGTTCCCAATGTTAAGTAAGCGTTCCGCTATATGTATGAATTGTCTTTTATGGCGGTGAAATCTAGCCATTTTCTGGCTTGGTGTTTTGTCTGCTCTCGAGCACATGAAAGGGCGTTTCCGCACTTGAGCGGTATACGAATGTCCTGTGCAGGCCACAGAAAAACAACACCTCGGCAGCACACTCTGTCGAGGCTCTCGCTACAGACTGGCACGCCGCAGGTTCTAAATCTGGCAGGTCAGGGTCCGCACAGGCGTTGTACCAACGAGAATTCGTGCAATCGTGGCATGGTTGATGCCCTTTAAATATTCATGATAGTGGTCCGTACCGCGCTGCTCATATTAATACGCCTTGACAGCAGAGACACAAGTGTAGTCTCTACTCATATGGGCAGACACCATAACTTCTTGTCCTTCCAGAAAACCGTAGCATAAGTTTGACTATTGAAGTGTGTTTTATTTAGTATTGCGCTTGCTGGTGCATTGGGCCTTGAACTCATTCATCTGGATCACTTCTTGAAGCTTTACATTTCTTCCATCTTCATCCGCTTCTGGGCCTTAGAAGCGACGTAAAAAGAAACCTCTGTGATCGGCCTGTAATGGTGTTGGAAGCAGCGGGACGTATTAAAGAAATGTAGTGTAAAATTACGGGCGGAATGCTTCGCCGAAGTAACCAAAGCTCCGCACAACCTGGTATGCACGGGTGGTTCCATGCGTACGTGCCAAATTGTGCGAAGTACCAGTGAGATTTTTTTTTTTTTGTGGCATCCTCTCAGTGCTGGGGAAAGTACATCTAAATATAGTACTTGAAGGGAAGTACAAAGTAAGTGAGAGGTTACGTATTAAAGTGGCAAGTACACTGGGCGCAATGTACTTTAAGTAAAATAACACAGATAGTATGTACTTGTAAAGTAAAGTACAAGTATATTTTTAAACACACCTTTCACGATGCCCCAGCTTTCACTTCCTATACAGTGTTTTTTTTTTTTTTTTTTAACTTGTATGCATTGCTTTAGGAGTAGAGGATGCAAGCTGGCGCCGTGGTCCGTGAACGTTTCACCGCTCCTTCAAAAAAGTCGGGGAGACTTCGCTCTTCGCCACGACACGTCACGGCAAACCACGGCTCCCCGCCCCGTGACGTGTTCTGTGACGAACCACTAAATGCTACCAATCACGCTCACGAGCGGTGTTGAGAGCAGGTCAAGGTTTCGTTTGGCAAGGCTTGCGTAAAGGCGGGCGTTGCGGCGGGACGACCGGCCCGACTACCGAATGCAACGAAATGCACGGGGCACGTGGACACAGGTTGGGCCAGTCACATCGCTTCCCCTTTTCCGATTGACCACGGCTTGCCGCGGCTTGCTGTATTGTTCAAACCGGAAAACGGAGAGCGAATCCAGCCTTCTTTGACGTAGCGGTGAAACGTTCACGGACACGGCGCCAGTCTGCATACTGCATACTGGCAGCATCAATTATTTTCGGATATGGCGTTGGATAAAGTCAAGTCTACAAAGGATATTCGTTTTAGTTTCGCTGGTGGCTGACGAACTCTCTAACACAAACAACTTATAAGACACTTATTTGTATAGATTTTATAGCAGCCACCATTACTTCACTCAAAGAGATGACAGGTTGACGCCTCGAAAAACGTTGTGCGTTTTTACATCAGGATACAACACTTGTTTGTTAGCGGTTGCACTTGACCTTGCTGGAAAAACTAAGGACACGTGCGCGTTGTTCTTGAATGATGCGCTCACTGTCACCGAGACCGAATTCGCGGAATGTACTTTGAAGTCGGAAGTTATACTTTTCTCGGAAAGTAAAAGTAAACAATACTTCAAGTAAAGTACAAGTACTTACTCAGAGAATGTACTTCAAGTAAAGTACAAGATTTCAAAACCTACTTGAAGTAGTACTTTATAAGTAGAATGTATTTAAAGTAATTCCTAAAGGCCCGTTCACACCCTTGCGACCGAGTAAGACCGAGAGAGACCAGACCGGCTTTTAGGCCTCTTGCGATGTCTTAGGACCAGCTCCGCTGCAGCGCATCCGGTCCTAAGACGTCGCAAGAGGCTTAAAAACTGGTCCGGTCTCTCACGGTCTTACTCGGTCGCAAGAGTGTGAACGGGCCTTTACCCAGTCCCAAGAGTGTGAACGGACCTTAACACTTTTGTTTGACTACAACCGACTGAGGCAAGACCGGTTTTTAAGCCTCTTGTGACCGCTTACGACCAGCTCCGCAGCAGAGCATCCGGTCGAAAGAGGCTTAAAAACCGGTCTGGTCTCTCTCGGTCGTACTCGCTTCCAAGTATGTGAACGGGCTTTTATGGTTTCTCCCTTTTAAGTCACGGTAAGAATATAAGTGCGGAAACGAGCTCGTGTAAATTTGATCATATAATACCTAGTGTAAATTGATCATGACAGCGAAACCTCTCGGGGTTTACGTCATGGACAGAATATACCTTAATAGGTGTGATCCTGGTGAATTATCGGCAGTGGCGAATGGCAAGATAAAATTTTGCGCATCGTTTTCCTGGTTCCCAGCATTTTTTTTTTTTACATATTGAAAAATGAACTAAAACAATTTAACATCGCATTATCTCAATCGCTTTGCACCTTTTCAAGATAGGTCGTTTTGGAGAAAATATTACCTATTTTTTCTTTGTTTATTGTGCAGTTTGTAGTTTTTGAACACACACACACAAAGGTCTAGGTTTTCTGATACTTGTATACTCGTGAGGTTAACTTGAATGCAATTAACGGTTATGAAAGTTTCAACGGTAACTGACTGCTTAATAAATGCAGAAAGTGACGTAGTATAAAAACGCTTCGTGATTCGCTCTTCGTCTTTCTTATCGGCTGATGCTACGACCTAATTCGATACGGAGCGTTAATGAGATGTTCCGCACTCGTCACGCCCTGCGTTTCTTAAACTGTCAGTAACTTTAGTATATATAATCGCAAAAATGCTTTAACACCCATACAAAAGATACTATTGGCTCTGAAGGCTTTCTTCAAAGGGAGCAACGAAACGAAGCCCAGCTGTAAAACACCAAGACGGTCTCGCAAGAGTGAGGAGCTATACAGGACAACTCACGCGCTGTTGAAACGTAGTTTCCTGTAAAGCTGTGTCAGGATGTCAATCAGCTGAAGCAACGAAGCCCCGAGCCACATGCTCACGTGACCCGAGATGTAAGTCACCAGGTCGGAGCGCTGCGAGTAAGACGCCACAATTCATTCACGAAAAGAGGATAGCTGGAAAGAAGCGCCTCCTTTTGGCACACGTTTATTCGTTAAATTTAGTTTTACGTAAGTCCAATAGCCCCTTCCCTGGCTAATAGCGAGCGCTCGGCGCGCGCTCGCCGAGCGGAGTCTTGTTCTCCTCGGGAGAAGCGAGCAATCTCTGTGTGCCGCTATCATTTTCATCACAGGCAAAAAGGAAAAGAGGTATGACATAATAGAAAAAAGCGCAAATGGTTTTTGTAGAGCCATTTCTCGAGAGCCGGTGAAGGTAGATAGAGAATGAATTAAAAATGAATTTAATTGAAGTGCACTAAAAGGAGGGGGAGCGTTAGAAATACCAACAGTTTTAAGCTGAGGCACTTTGTATGGATGCGCAATCGACAAGACAACAGTGACACACTTCCGCTTCTGCTTCCATATATGTGGTGCAAAAAAAGTTATGAGAGGAATCGAAACAGTGTCGCCACCCCTTCAAATGAGCAAAGGCGTTTGTTCGATGATATTGCACATGGCAGTGTATAGTAAACCATGATTAGCATTATTTAACATTTTGACGTGGAATACATTTTAAAGCATGGACATGTGGGAAAATACCAACATAAAAAATACACATCAAAACCTACAGGGTCTGTTCAGGCAAGATACTTTACTCCCGAATGTATGGAGGGAACGAAATCATAAGGAGATTTAGAAAACAAAATTTATTTCTCGAGAAAACAAAAAATTGTGACTGCGTCGAGGGGCAACCTCCTTTTGGCGTTTTGACATTTTGCCAAGTTTGACGGCACGTAATAGACAAAGTACAAATTATAGAAAACCTCACAAGTAACTGACTTACTGAAAAAAAAGCTTAAAAGAATTCTTTAAAGGTACTTAAAAACATTTCTTAGAAAGATCTTAGAAGATCTCAGTAAGGGTTCTTTATAGTAAACTGATTCGCCAAAGTATAGCTGATAAAAACTTCTCAAAGGTTTTAGATAAAGAACCCTTTCATTAAAGTGCCTAAAATTACTCTTGAAAAGTTCATAAAGACCTTTTATGAAAAGAGATAAAAAAAAACTTTCAAAAGTTTTTTACAAAGGACTTTGCATCAAAAGAAGCTTAAAGGGGCACTGACATCCCAAAGGTCGTATCTTTTTTAATCGTCTAAAGTGATGCAAGTTGTAATCATAGACACGCAAAAAAAAAAAAAACGCATCGCGAAAAAAAAAAATTTTCGCGCGCGCGCGCGCCTTTTTAATTTTGGCGTTTATATCTCCCGCGTTCACCTCCTTGCTTCTTTTGATCGGTGACCTCAAAAATCAGAAAATTTAGAAGCTTTGTAGGCGACATTTCTATAACATTTAATTAGGGCAATCGTAAAACATGTTTTTTAACGGAATTGCTAACGCACTACGGCCCCTCTTTTTGAAATACCCAAAATCAGAGTTCGGTGAGATGTCCCTTCCTGGATTTGTATCCTCCATCGGAAAACTTGACGGCGCTCGAGGAGTGGGTGACCCTGGGGTGACCGGCGAGCCGGGGAAGAAACCGGTTTTTTTCCCGCGCCGGTTCCCTTCTATCCCGCCTGCTCACGGCGGCAACGGCCAACGGCGCTTTGCTTCGAAGCGTGGAGAGGAGGTCCGAAAGAAAGTCGAGTTGCAGGAGACTGCAAAATTCGACTCACTGCACTGGCGCGGATCGCGCGGGAACTTCAAATACGGCATTTGGGAATTGTTTTTTTTTTTTTTTTTAATTCAGAAATATTAAATTCTTAAGTTTCGAATTTTGAGGGTAATGTCCCGGCATCGTTTTTAATCGTTACGGATAATAAAAATAAATATGAGTTTGATGTGTCAGTGCCCCTTTAAAGCCGTGGTCACACTGCTTATACATCATAGGAAAGCAGTCTGGATACGACTTCGAACGCGAGTCACCGACAGGTCCGTCTTCAAATGCCGCAAGGCAGTGAGTTCAAGCGGAAACTTGGCACGCGGCATTTGAACCACGGATATCCCTAGTAACAACTCTTATACGTATAATAAATCTATTTGTCCAATAAACGCATATGATTAAATGGGATCATATAAAAACATACAAGAACCTTTAAAGAACATATGAGGACGATTCTATAAGAAGTTATAAAAATCTCCTTATCAGTTTTTGATAAGTTCTTATATAATCTTTATGTTCGTATAAAGTTGCTTTATCCTCTTATATAATCTTGCTTGATCATATACGTCTACTGGACAAAGAAATTTCTTATACGTATGAGATTTTTCACTAGGGATTGCGGTGACTTGTGTTCGCAGACTGTCTTTTGTATGATGTATGAACAGTGTAAACCGGGCTTTAAGAAGCACCTTATAGGTTGTTTTTCTTTCTTTTTTTTAAGATCCCTTTAGGCGGTGCTTAAAATAACTTCTTTCGGGTGCAACATATGAAGAAGTCGAAGAACGTCTAAGAGCTTATTTACGACCAGATTTTTTTTAGAATGTTGTGCTAATATACACAACAATGTGTGCAATTTTGGAAATTATTCCACGCGTCGAAAACGCTCAAACTTGGCTATATCAAAAATTTTCCTTTTATATTTGTGATTTATTAGCTCGTATCTTTAAAATATAGCATTGTAGTTTTTTCACGTATTAAGGTCCGTTTACACTCTTGCAACCGAGTACGACCGAGAGAGACCAGACCGGTTTTTAATCCTCTTGCGACTCCTTAGGACCAGCTCCGCAGCAGCGCGCCCCGTCCTAAGAAGTCGCAAGAGGATTAAAAACCGGTCTTGTCTCCCTCAGTCGTACTCGGTTGCAAGAGTGTGAACGAGCCTTTATTCACATGAGGGCATATCGTCTATATATAATTTGTTGGTCTAATTTTTTAGGAAAAATATTTACATCGCTTTAAACATGTCCCAACTACGAAGTTTTCACAACTTCATTGTGCAACAATGTTTTTTTTTTCTTCTTCTTATGAAGGATTCGACACCATATCGCCGTGTTCCTCCAATTAAAACGAGTTGCATCGTTTGTCTCCGTCTAAATATAGCTCTTCGAAAGGTACACATTTGGCTACTTTGGCATTTTTACCCAATATTGGTGAACAGCTATCTCGCATCTTTTTAAAGTTTTCTTTTTAGCTATTAATTTTTTTATATATTATTCTCAAAAGTATCTAAAATCTGGGTATAAACTGTTGCTTTAATTTACAAAATGTCAAAGTAGCCAGGTTTGCGGATTTTTGACGCTAAATAAATATTTTCCAAAATTGTTCATATTGTTGTGTATATTAGAACTATTGACTATGTTTTTATCAAATATTTGAGTTTTCTATCAGTTTTTACTTTGTCTATCTGGTGCCGTCAAACTTGGCAAAATTGACAAAACGCCTAAAAGGCTGTTTTGTTGAAAAATAAACATGTCCTTTTTCATGCTGTCTTATTTTTTTTTCTCGATCATAATTTTTTTAAATCTTTGTGATCCAGTTCTGTGCGTACATGAAGGAGTAACGTATAATCACATAAATATACGTAAATGTCGACCTGACATGCGTGCATGATCTTCTCTGAACATACCCTACACGAGAAAGAGAGAGAAGTGGCGTCATCCGCAACATTTATTTCGTAAATTTAGCAGGACCAGGCCGTGATGCGCGGAGGCGCCGTTAGTCGGCGCTGGCAGTACTGGTCGGTCGACGCTCACATATTCACCGTATTGAAGGCTACAGTACGTGAAAAGCGAAATGTAGTAAATCATGATATCGCCATTTCTTTTGTTTATATATTATAAATGAACACAAAATATTTCTAATATGTCAAGGTGTGCATCTTTTTTTTAGCAATTTAGTGGTTTCATTGTCTGCACCGCTCATTATACTCAGAGAGCAGCATATGATCCAATTCTACCAGCAGAGCTTTGGTCATCGAATGGGGTGTTGCCAAGAGAGACTTTTGGGTGGAGAAAACGGAGCACTGATCAAGTTTTTTTTTTTTTACTGTTCTCATTAGTCTACGCATTTCTATCGGTTGCGGAGCGCGACAATCTAGCATATTGGGTACGTACATCCTGTCATTCTTAAACTCTCAGTGACAATACGTACAATTATTTTGTCAGGCATGGCCAGAGTCCCGCACAATGTTTTCTCTCTCAGCGAGTACAGCCGTGCCTTAGCAAGGAGTTTTCCTTTGTACATTTGTTTGTCGTCTCGTTTAACCATAGTTTTGTGACAATGAAACCATTTTACAATATGTATAAAAAGTATATGGCAAGAAATATTCCTAATATTCAGACATGTACATAAGACCTATGAAAGCTAAAAAATCCGCATGTACAGAGAAAAAATAAAGATGGCCACCGAGACCCCTGGTGCTCACCAGCATCCGTGGAAGGGTCTGCACAATCTTCCTCCGTGTGGTACCCATAATGACTGAAATCTCAATTTCTTTGCTCCTGTAACTCGCAGAAAATAAAGCCACATGTTACGAGATACGTTTGACGTTTCTATTCCCATTGAATATATGTCTAGGAGCTGAACCTCGGGAAGCTGTTGGGTCGTTATCCGAAAACACGGAATCCTTACATTATCCTGGTCCCAAACGCGCGATAAGCACCTGCATTTGTTCACCAACAATCAAAACTATTTTTTTTTTCGTAATTGTGATTGTACATTTACAAATACGTTCCCATGAGGCATATCCGTGACACACCAGAGTAAAAAGAGGGTTAAACCCGATGTATTTAAAGTGTTCCTTGAGTTTTTGCAACCTTTTTTTTTTTTTGTGGTTGCTAGCGCACTAGGTTGCTAGCGCACGAGGTTGCTAGCGCACTATTTTCTCAAAAGTATTTCTAAAACTAGCAAATGACACAACCAGGGGTTTCCCCAGGAATTGAAATTAGGGGGGTCTAAATTTTTAGGGGGTAGGGGGGGGGCGTGCATTCAGAATAGAGGAGTCGTTGCGAATTAAGCGGGTGCCTTCAGAAAAACAAGGGCAGGGGGGGGCGGTGTACTCCCCCCCCCCCCCCCATTAGTGGTGGTGTAGGGAAATCACTGGACACAACTGCAATATAATGCCCACCATTATGCGTTGCTACAACTCCAACCAAACATTTAATGGTGCACGCGGTGATAGAGCACTTACGGGTATTTTATGTAGTCAGGAAGAGTTCCTGTCTGGAAACTGAGGGAGCTGTACCGGGTCTCTCTGCAACAAAAACGATCGTCGGTTAAAGGCAGTCTTGGGTAGTAACGCTTTACTAGTAACGCGTTACTGTAACTTCGTTACTTTTTTGGTAACTTGTAACTGTAACGAGTTACTTTTTAAAAATATAACTTGTAACTGTAGTTCTATTACTTTTTCTGAGGTAAGGACGAAAGTAACGACGTGACTTTTGTCGTTACTTTCCAGTTTTTATGAATAATATATCGCTGAACGAGTACAATTTAGCCATTCTTTGCGCTTTCCAAATTGTCTGTTCCGACATTCCGAGTGTCAAGTTATTTTTTGCACAAAAACCTGTGAATACGTTCTTTCTCGCCAGTCACGACCCGAATATAGCCACGTGTAGATTTGGTGAAAAAAAAAAAGTAGTTATCTTTAGCACGCGCTTGTACTTTGTGACTGAACACTTGCATCTTAGTATCTTAGAGAACTATCTTTTTGCGGTTTTTCTTTTTTCTGCGCGCAAACGCTTTTTAATCGGGTAAATCAAACGTGAAACAACAATACACGCGGAGGGCACTGCGAATGTTTCGTATTTTGATTAGCGCCACCACTGCGCATGTTTCGTATTTTGATTTGCGCCACTACTCCGGTGTAGTGTCAACAGTCGAGGCAAAATTTACTGCTGTTTACGCGGGGTTTGTTTCTGGATTGCCGGGTACGGACTGAAATATGTCCAGGGACTCTATGAACCCAGCGCAATCCTCAACGAGCCAGCAATGTACTAGTGCTACCAAGGATATGAATGTTGATAAGAACGAAAAAGAACTACCATTACCGGCGTACAGAGAGTGCTGTGGTGGAGGGAGTTACTAACAGCTTGACTGCATAAAACGGCACTCTGTTGCCTCAACGCCTACTCGGCAATCAAAAACCTGTTCAGGCGAAACAACACAGCAATCCCACCCAGCGCGTTAGACGAGCGCCTGTTCAGCAAGAGCAGGGACGTGTTCGTTATCAAACAAGGGAAACTTTTAGACACTAATTTTGAGAAGCAACTGCTGCTAAGTTACAATATAAAGTAAAAAGCACGCTTTTTTATTTTATGCAAATAAACTTGGTGAAAAGCGTTCTGTAGCTTTTCCTATTTTTTGTGTTAAAGAAAAGTAACTAAAATGTAACGTCGTTACTCTTTAAAAGTAACTGTAACTGTAACGAGTTACTTTTTTGTTGTGGTAACTGTAACGGTAACTTCACTACTTTTTTTCTGAAAGTAACTGTAACTGTAACGAATTACTTTTTTAAAAGTAACTTACCCAAGACTGGTTAAAGGGCAACTCCGATCAATAGTTTCGAATGTGGGATTACGACTGTTTTCAGCTCAGTCGGTATCCCTCAATTACAAGGTATAATATTGTTTCCCCTGATATTGCGTGAAGTTTTATAGATATCACGGCTTAAAGTTTGGTTTCGGGCGTCAACAGCAAAACCGAAACCACCTGCTAGAGAGGGATGGCAACACTGATCATCAGTTGTACGGCCGCGACGTGCCCCTTCACGGTGGTGCTGCGATACGCGGTACAACCTGCGAAATCAACCGCAGCACCACCGCCACGTGACGTCACGGTGGTGCTGAGGGACGCGTCGCCCAGTGTTGATTGACTAAAACCTAACACCGCTTGCCACCTTCTAGAGAGCAGATGGTCGCATCTTTAAAATTAATTGGCTTTATCGGAGTACGCGGCTTCACTTTGACATAATATTTAGGCTGCTATAATTTTTCGGTCCACTAAAGGGACACCAGTCCTTTATTTTGGTTTTGTTTTCGACCGAAATCGCCCTCTGAGAGAAGCAAAAAAAAAAAAAAAAATCAAAACGCTCCAACTTGCAACTTGCCGTTTGTGACTTCATACGGAGACATGCGCCAAGGGAAAACATATTTCTCTGGTAATAACGGTAAGTGAATATATTTTTTACAGTTTATAATGCTTGATCTTGTTTTAATATATATATATATATATATATAGAGAGAGAGAGAGAGAGAGAACGGGCATGGTGGCGGGAGGCCGAAGGCGTGGGTATAGAACTGAGAAGAGACCGGCCTTCCTGACGAAGGCCGGACTCCGGCCGAAACGTCGAAGATTAAATCGTCCGTTGTTGCTGTTTTTACTAAGGGTTTTTTCTTCTCAGTTATATATATATATAACTGACACAAGATTTATATATATAAATCTTGTGTCAGTTTAGAGATAGCTTGTTTTTTATGTTCTGGATGCTGTGCACCTTTCTTGCGCACACTTGGGGCTTGGCAACACACTTAAAAGAGCCTAAAAAAATAAACTAATTTACTTTTTTAATCTAAGGAGTGCAATGAAAAAAAAAATGAAAGCCGTTTACAATTCCCTGTAACGCCGGTTAGAGCGCAGCTCTTGAGGAGGAAGATGGAAGCGTACTGAGGGATAGGTGACTCCTTGAGGTCACGTGACCTCAGGGGGTCACGTGACCTCAGGGGCTCACGTGACCTTCGGGGGTTACGTGACCTCGGGGGTCACGTGACCTGAAGGGGTCACATGGCCTTAGGGGGTTACGTGACCTCGGGGGGTCACGTGACCTAGGGATGTCACGTGACCTGGGTGGGTCACGTGACCCCTTAGGTCACGTGACCCCCTGAGGTCACGTGACCTCAGGACGTCACGTGACCTTAGGGGGGTCACGTGACTTCGTGGGGTCACGTGACCTGGGTGGGTCACGTGGCCCCCTTAGGTCACGTGACCCCCAGAAGACGTTTCAGGGGTCACGTGACCTAGGGGTGTCACGTGACCTGGGTGGGTCACGTGACCTCGGGGGGGTCACGCGACCTCGCGGTTACGCCGACGTCGACGCCGCTCAAGCCGGAAACGGGCCCCTAAGAGCTGCGCTCTAAAAAAAACAAAGAATCTGTCCAAGACCTAATTCTACATCTATGCAAACTTTGGTGGTGATAGGACAAAATTATGTATACAAAGTCTTGTGCGCCAACTGTGGAGATGCTCCAAAATTAAATAAAGAGAAACACGTTTGAATCTGTTACCTTAGATATGTAACAACACTCTTTCGCGGCAAATAAAACACCTTTTTTATTCTTTCTTTTTGCAAGAAATTATGTTACAGAAAACTACAACGGAAAGGAGACGGCTAGGCTCACTATTAACATAAATGTTATGGCTGGCGAGTTGACGACACAATTCGAAGTGCCGCTCACACAAGAATGACTTACATTTTGCCCTTTCTGAGCGGTCAAGACATCTTCAAATGCGTATTTAGCTACTTCGCGGTCGTTACTGGTTCTTAGTATTTTTATGCTTAAAATATAAACATTCAAAAATAATAAAACTCAATAAAACCCAAAATAATTTTTCTGAAAATGTATTGCCGTTTTTCGACTCGCATTAACGCATTTGATGAAGAGTATCTGCGGCACTCATCTTGGGCAGACATGTCGGGCTTTCTTAGTCTACATTCTAACAATGCGCTATTGGCTCCGATAGCTTCTGTGTAAAGTTCACTAAACGCAAGGGTCGTTTGAAAGGCAAAAGTTTGATGGTCAATGGACTCTTGCTAGGTACTAGTAAATTGTAATTTTATGTATAATATCATCTATGTATACTGACGACGTACCGATTGGCATGACCCTGACATTTTTTTTAATATAATTTAATTATACCTAGCGGAAGTATGTACGGCCTACCGATATGAGGGAGGCCAGATGATCCCCATCTCCAAGAAAGGTCATGGCATTTTGGGATGCTCATGAGTGGGTGCTTAATATAATTGAGGGGAGGCAGGTAAAGGAATAAAAAATAAAGTGCCTCAGTTTGGTCTCGCGTTATCAATGCTGACTTGATTCTATGGAACTTTTTTTAATAAATTACCTTCTCAGGGGCCAGACAATAACGGTGGAATGCTACACAAATTCTTTCAAGAAATTGCATGAGCGGATTGATTCAAAACGCCAAGACAAACTGCGGAATTTGCAATATTTCGAACACAACCAAGTTCCCGCCCCACCAATGTGGGTTCAAAAACACTGATTACCCGATCTGGCTTTGTCAAACCTGCACGCTTTCCAACTGCCTACCAAGCATAAGATCGTGTTGCTGGTAAACATTTAAAAGCAGACAGTGTCCTATTTGCAAAGACTTTTCCGAGTGTCGAAATACATGATTCTTCTCAGCTGAAATAAATGCATTGCAGCCTCACTGTAAGAAATATGTAGACGTCCGAAGGAAAATACTATGCTTAAAAGTAGCGCAGTACTATGATCATGGCCGAGCATCTACTAGGCCTCGAACTTTTCAAACGACTCTCGTATATGGTTACATTCATTCAGGGTTAGAAAGTACCTGATTATAATATTCAATGTAAATCAGTATTTAGGTAATTCTAATATTTTTAAAATAAAAGATAGGACGCATTTTATAAGGTCATTTCTTAGTAGCAGTAGCGATAGATTTCAAGTCTGATTCCTAGTACCCCGTAATTAAAGCAAGTTACTTTTCTCTGTCCTCTATCCGGAGAGCAAGATGTCTGCTTCTTGCTCAGGGGTTGCGGTGACGTCAGAATAACGCGGAGCTTTGATTGGAAGGATAGTGGGTAGAGCTTAAGGCTAGATGCCTTGCGGTCTACCCATTATTTCTGCGTTTTAATCAGCCAATAAGAGCACGGCGTTCTGACGTCATCGCAACTCCTGTGCTATGAGCAGACAAACTTGCGCTCCGAATAGGTACTTTTCCGGTATTTTCGGCAGAATGAGAAAAAAAAAGGTTAAAAATGTTTTCTATTTGCGTAGTCGATAATGAGCAGATGTAAACAAAAAAAAAAGCATGCAATGTCAGCGTCTGTGTTTATCTTTGCATGCTATATCTTGTCATCGATGGGTTCACCATTGAGAAGATGCGGGGGTAAACAAAAGCTCCCAATGTTTCTGCTACTGCTGCTCGACTGATTCCTTCCTTTTGCTCGCTTTTTGCTTTCATGTTAGTGATTCATTGTGGTGAAATTAGAGATCTTGGCAAAATGTGGTTTACGTTTTGCAATACAAAAGAGGCAATCGATTTTTTCTAGAACGGCACCTCTTAGAATGCGAGAGTAGAGGGCACACCCTCGTGGGATTACCTGCATGGCCGCGTGCACTGGCTTTGACAGTCAGGAAGCCAGTTCATAGACTTCATGTAATCGTTGCACTTCACTGAAAAAAAAAAAAAAACGTTTTTTTTTGTAAAGGCTGGTCTATTTATTTTCGTCGCCTGCGCTCTCAGCAGCTGCAACGACACCAACATCAGAGTCACTGCGAGGACCGTGCTGGCCAAGAGTACCTAGAATTATAAAAGCCTGTGAACAATCTAATCTACATCCACGTAGCACCATCACGCTTGGGTGGCGCCAATTCAGCAATTGGGCCCAAGCCCAACGTCAAACGTCCTTGGACGTGATGATTAAACACGAGGCCCACCAGAAAGTTGACGCAGCCCTTGCGTCATTCTTTTCCTGCGTTCAACCTCACCGTGATGACATTAAAACGTTAGTGCACGTGCTTTGATTGTTCAATCTCAATGATGACGTCAAAATACTAATGCACAGGTTTCGATTAGTTTAGGTGGTGTTGACTCGGCATCCCGTATGGCGACCCAATTACGATGTCAATTAATCACTTTTCATAATCTACTAAACCCCAAGACACGGAAGAAAAAAAAAATAACGGATAAGACGACACAATATTTAAAATGCAGATGTTCATTTAGTTTATTTTATCTGTGTATCGAGATTTAGATTATGATATTTCCCAACCAGCTGGCCTGCACGCTTTCGCTTCTTCGAATAACCCTTGTAGCTTCCGAAAGCCAGTCACAAATGAGCAACAATATTGAAGAGTGTCTTTTCGGCTCGGGATTGCATCCATAGGCTACGATTTGAACGGGTTAGTCGCGCTGCATGGAAATCACAGTTGTTTCTTGTGGCCATGAAGTTGCTGTTGTTTCGCTTAAAACTCTCGATCAAAATTCATGCTCACGCCAAAGGGCTTCATAGTTTGATTTGTTACCACTCCAACCTGCTCAAATATTTGAACAAGGCATAAAACAACGGTAAGGACAAATATGTCACCGTGGCGGTCGCGTTACGTTTGTCGCGCGAAAACCAATACATGCAATAGCCGCAAGATTAAACATTGCCCTTCATCACTGTTGGACCGGCTGCAAACGACGTGCTTCATATGCAGCGCGGCACATGGGCCGCGGATGTCCTGGTGATTGTCGTTGCTGTCGCTTTGGTTGCTTCGAACGTAGCCGACGGAAGTGTTTGTCAAGTAGCTTTCTTATTCGGCTGCAAGAACCCAAACATTGTGAGCAAACTTCACTATTCACATCGTTTCAAACGTTATATGAAGACTCTGGAGAGCATGCACGGGCTCAAACGTGATCAATAAAACAAGGTGTTAGGAAGAAAATATCTTCTGAAGACATATTTGAATTTGGAAAACCTAGAACGCCATGTAAGCGCTTAAGGTTGGGCGTTGCGTCTGGCTCTGGCAACCTTGTGTCCGTCGTACTATGTCGTTCTGGCTTTTAGCTTTTTTTTTTTCAAAAGCCAGCCGAATGACACTGATGGTGAATTCCACTCGTAGATCTGGAGCGCTTTCCAAAATCCGCGAGGGAGGCAAAATTCCGCTCCGTGGGACCCGCTCCAAATCGACGAGGGGAAGATAAACTTGCATTTTTGGAGCGACCTCCCCCACACCCCACCCCACCCCTTCTCCCTCCGCCGTACAAAATGGCCGCTGCTCGAACTTGACAAGCCCACCAACGCCTCAGCCGGCTGATCTTTCCGACGACCAGTGACCACTGTCACTGCTTAGCTGCAGAAGTAACACGCGGCACAGGCTGGGCGAAATAATACGTGTCACGGCGCCCATGTCACAAATAACGAAGACGTCCGCGTTCGGCACCGTCACATACCTTTCGGTCGCCTCGAAGCGGCGAGGCACGGACAGCGATTGCCAGCGGTGGAGTTCAGATTTCTAGTACGACTTTAATAAACACGGAGGTAACAAACCATCACCTGCGCGGTGGTTTCCTAACTACTACTTGCTTTATTTCACGGGAAAACGCCGACGGAATGCAGTACAAAAAGGTAAACAATCACTGCATTTTGAATGAATAGGCCTAACCTTGCGTCTGCCTCCGGCTTTTCTGTCGTTCTTTTTCTCGTTCGCGAGTCTCACGATCACAGATGTCAGCGCTTACGATTTCCCACACTCCACATTCCCGGCTTTTTATCCCTGATCTACGCGTGGTAAAAGCGTTCGAGCCGTCATAATCCAGAGTAAACAACCGACGCACCCGAACAGAACCAACTCCACGACCCAGCCGTGGCCCGACCGGCCCGCCGATCTCTCCAACCTCGCCGCGCATGCGCACTGCCGATTTAGACGGAAGTCACGTGGGTCGCTCTGTCAACTTCCGGAGAGATCTGTGAAATCCCGCAGAGCAAGTTCGGCTGAGTTTGGGGCGCTCCGTGGAGCGGGCGCTGCCAGAGATCTACGAGCGGAAGATGACCAACTTGAGCCAGATCTGCGAGCGGAATATGCGCGCTCCAAATGGAGCGCTTTTAGAGCGCTCGAGATCTGCGAGCGGAATTCACCATGAGTGAACACTTAGCAAACTCTGCTGATGTTGATGTTGAGGTGGCTGAGATGTCCATAACTTGGGTTACAAAGGAGGAGGGGAGGGGGCAAAAAAGTGAAAGCCGTTTATAACTCCCTGTAACGCCGAATTAGAGCGCAGCTCTTGAGGAGGAGTAGAGAAGGGTACTGAGGGGGGGGGGGGTCATGTGACCTCGGGGGGAGGGGGGGGGTCACGTGACCTCGTGAGAGGGGGGTCATGTGACCTCGGGGCGTCACAAGACCTCGGGGGGGGGGGGGGGGGGAGTCACGTGACCCCCCAGAGAAATTTTCCCACTAGTTTTAGCGGGGAAACTTTTCCGCTAGTTTTAGCAGGGGGGGGGGAGTCACGTGACCTCGTGAGAGGGCGGTTCACGTGACCTCGGGGCGTCACAAGACCTCGGGGGGGGGGGGGGGGGGGAGTCACGTGACCCCCCAGAGAAATTTTCCCACTAGTTTTAGCGGGGAAACTTTTCCGCTAGTTTTAGCAGGGGAATTTTCCGCTAGGTTTAGCGGGGAAATCTTTCTGCTAAATTTAGTGGGGAAATGTTTTCGCTAGATTTAGCGGGGAAATTTTTCCGCTAGATTTAGTGGGAAAATTTTTCCGTTAGATTTAGCGGGGAGATTTTTCCGCTAGATCTAGCGGGAAAATTTTTCCGCTAGATTTAGCGGGGAAATGTTTTTGCTAGATTTAGCGGGGAGATTTTCCCGCTAGATTTAGCGGGGAAATTTTTCCGCTAGATCTAGCGGGGAAATTTTTCCACTAAATTTAGCGGGGAAATTTACCCATAATGCACTGCGCGGTTACGCCGACGGCGACGGCGACGCCGCTCAAGCCGGAAACGGCGGCCTAAGAGCTGCGCTCTAAAAATGTAGAGCCCTTCCACTTCATGTGAAGATGGGGTACCAGTAAAGTTTTTATCTTTACAAAGTCTAGGACCACCTCAAGGACGACGCCTAGAGGACGACCTCTAGGACGGCCTCAAGGACGATGTCTAGGATGAACTCAAGGACCACTTGTAGAACGACCTCGAGGACGACGCCTAAAGGACGACTTGTAGGACAACCTCGAGGACAACGTCTAGGACGACCTCAAGGACCACTTGTAGAACGACCTCGAGGACGACTTCATGGACGACCTCAAGGACGACTTCTTGGACGATGCCTAGAGAAATTAAGCCTTTCCACTCTGGTTTTCACCAGAGCCGAAAGATTGCCGCCGTAGCTCATAGATGGCGGTAGCTGTCCAAAGTTTTGTGTAGACATCTGTTTGCCCGCGGACATGATACTGGGGAAACTAGCCCTTAACAGCTCTGCTGTAAAATGCATGTGAATGCATGTGTATATTATATGGTGGGCTGAATTTCAGAGGGGGGGGGGGGGGTGAATTCCCCCTGGCTGCGCTACTGGTAGGTTTTCGCAAACATTACTAGCAATCATTCTTTTCAACAATAAAGGCATTTCGGAGGGTCCTACAAAATGGGCAATGTATCTCACGCAGTGTTCAATGCCAGGAGTTATAGTTCGCTGCCTGTCCGAGGCGCACGTGCACGAGCTCCGTAGATTAATCTCCTCGCAGTGCGACTCACGATGTGAGAGGTATTCGCAGAGGTTTCCTTTCAGAACGTGCTTCATGGAGTACAGCTTCGGGTAGCAGTCGCACTTGCTCTTCCACAAGTCCGCCAGACATTTCTCGCTGCACTCCTGGCCGAGGGATAAGGTACACAGTAATTCAGTTCACTTCGCCATTTTGTTACGGGTGTAACTGACGCCAGTTCATTATCTCAGAACGTCCTGGATTCACGATGCCCCGCGATGCACTCAAAACGCCAATAAGTGGATTTACTTAAATTGGTTTATCCGATCAGAAAGGCAAGAAACATCGCGGTTAGGAATTGAGCTGTGTCAATGACGTTCGTACTTTCTCTCTCTCTCTCTTTTCTCTCTCTCTCTCTTTGGCGAAAATGTTTTGCCACTGAGACTGCATGACCTTTGAGGAGCGATATATTGCTCGATAGTTCTCATTCGCTAGGCCGAGGTCAGTAAGACCATTCCTTGGTATCCTTGGCGAATCCCGGTGAAGTGTGGATGCAGGACCTTTGAAAAATGCAGAATTACTCTGCGGTATAGTGCAGAGTAAAGGCCGGTTCAGACACTTGCGTTTGAATGCGTTTGACTGCGTTGCGTCGAGTACCGAAAGCGAGTCACCGGCACATCTGTGCTTCGTATGAAGCGTGGAGTCCAATTCAAGGAATCATTTTGGCACGCGATATAAGCAGCAGGGAAGTCCTGGTGTCTCGCAGCCGCAACGCAGTCAAACGCAACTGTCTGAACCGGGCTTAATTTTGCATCATCTATTTTAGAAGAGAATTTTTTCAAATACTTTATTGAATTGTAGAGGCTCAGGCAAATATTTAAAAGGTTAGTTTGTAAATGATACTTAATTATGACTAATCAATCAAATCAAATTTGGGGTTTTTACGTGCCAAACCAACGACGGGAATCTGGCACGCCCCAGCGAAGGACTGAGGATTAATTTAGACCACCTGGGGATCTTTTGACGTGCAACCGAAAGCTCTGTTACACGGCGCCTTCTCCGCCGCAACTCCAGCGCGCCGCTCGCCCTCCCGCGGACGAACGGAGAACCAGAGGAGCGGGGACGGCAGCGGCGGCGGCGGTACGGAAACGGTGGCAGGGACTGTCGGCCTTGATGCGTGAAGCCGTTTTAACGTACAAAAGCGAGCGCGTTAAAAAAGTAATTCTTGTGCTCCGCCTTGCGACAGCCTTGCACAAAGGACCGAGAGGTCTAATTTCATTACAGACTTTCCGAGTATCGCATACGCAGCAGATTTCTGGTCTTGTGCATGGCCGCTATCCCAATCTGTGCTCAACGTGATGGAAAACGCTCCCGCTAATAATGAAGATCTCTACAGTACGGTCTACGAAAACTCTATTCTTTGCCGTAAGTAGAAGAAAACTCGTCGCTCAACGGTATAGCGAGCAATACAAATCGGGAATGGGTTCGCGTTTTAAGGCCGTTACAAGGAACATGACCATTTATTTCAAGCAATTTAAAAAGTCAGAACACCCGTACTTGCTTTCAGGTAATTACAAAGCAAATACAGAGATGCTCGAAGCATTTTAAGCGCGTCGGTGCTAGCCAGCCGTTTGTGACGAGAGCTTAGAACGGAGTTTTGGCCAGAGGGACCGCAATGTTGCAAATAACACGGTACAACAAATGTACGGTATATTAAAACAAGTTTTTTTTTGATAGAGCAATAAATAAAACCTCTTAACACGCCGATTATGTTAGTAGGCAGTTTTTGCATAGCGTACGACACCCCTAAACTTCAGTTGGACGTACAGCGCACTGACGTTCAACCGGCGCTACCAACTTTCACGAGCGGCTTTATAGCCGAGTTGTACAACTTATTAAAATAGCTTAAGTAAGTGTAAATGACTGTAAAACAAAGAAAGTAATCGGGGTTTTCTTGGCCCTTCTGCAAAACCGCGGTGTTTTTTGTTTTGTTTTTCGGTACTCTTTGATGCGTACTTCAGCTGTTTAATATCTTATATTGCGCCGTCATCAAGCCTCTCGTAAAAGTTGGGGCCGTCAGTTTGACGTCAGTGGGCAGCACGGCGAACTGAAGTTTTGGAGTATCGTATATATGACAAGAAATGTAAAAACTACAATGTTATTTTTTTTTTTTTTTTGAGAGTGATGAGCACGGCAACGCATCTGGCGCGCTCTGAAAATTGTGCTTCAAAGGCGCAGCGCGATCTTGCGGTCGTAATGCTACACCGCATGGTAGTCTGCGGTAATAAACTTTTTATCAATAACCATAGAGCAGTTTTATAACGTGTTGCAATACACTAAAACCGAGACGATGAGGAGCGGTTTGAGAGGCTGTGACGCGAAGACACCAATACTGTGTATTGCTGCTCTTCCGAAGCTTGACGGTCACCGTTCGCGGCTCTCTTTTTAAAACACTAATGGCCAGGCAAAGCGCAAATATATCTTCATCACCTTCAAAAAATATTCTGCCACAAACAGTAACGTGGCCGGTGCCTCAAACGCGCTCGCTCACCACAAAGTTTCGCACTTTGAGGTTTCTGCAACTTTTAAACACCAGCCTTCTCGTTTTCCTAACGTGCATCAGCATCTCCGTCACCTGTTATACGATCCCTCCATAGCCGCTTCGCATTTGGAGACAAATAAATAATTTTTAGCGCGCTGAACAGCGTCAGCGAGCAGGCGCATGGGATATCCTGGAGAATCTATCCCCGTCTCTTCCGCCATCTTGGAACTACCGCCCCGCCACCTATAGGGCGTTGGAGTTGCGGTCAGATTGCCGGCAGCTCGGCCGGGATTCGAACCCGCCACATGGGGATCCGTAGGCCAGCGCTCTCGCCTCGGAGCCACCGAGGCGGCACTTAATTATGACTCTCGCTATGTTCAGTGATGTTATTCAAAAGCATATTTTTATATTTTAAGCTCCCCTTTTCATTGATATTTTCTGTCTGACCAGATGAAAAAAATAATGTTAAACACTGTCTATATTAAAAGTAAACGAATTTAAATACCTATTAAATAATGTTCACAACGCTTCTATTGTCGCCGCGTCAATTTTAGAATTCGATAATATTAAACTAAATATATGTCGTGCAAAGATTACATAGCGTACAAATCGGTGGTTACAGTGCTTACCTCTGGTTGGATAATGTCGCTTGTATAGTTCCAAATCCTGGTCAGCCTTACGTAATCGGTGCACTGAGTTTCGTACGGGGCTTCCAGGGATATCACGTCAGTCTGTAGAGTATTAAGCACAAGTGTAACCACCGCTTACGCCGTCACGCAATAAAGCAAACATTCAAACACCTATAAACGCAGGTATTCCTAATTTTTTTTTTTTTTTTTTTTATGTTACGAGTAGTATTTAGTTATTCGTATATAGGGTTGAATTCTAGACTAATGCAGATCTGTTCTATGAGTTATTTCAGACATCTTCGATACTCTTACGATTAATTATTTCTGTCTACAGCAACCTTTCAGAAGTGTTATTTTAACTTGATATGATTTCAGCCCGTAAACCAGAAAACAAGTGTTTTTTTGTTTTTGTTACATATATATCTATCTTTTTTTTGTGTGTGTTTAAAAAAATGTGTGACGAGATAGGAACTTTTAATGACTAAATGAGTACAAATGCGGGGTAAAGTGTTGGAGAGTAATCTAATTAGCTGAGAAATAAAAAAATTACCAATAATCTTGATAGCCAATTCCTTTTAAATTATTTTTAGGTTCATGTGCGATGAGTAACAAAACACTCACAAAATCATCTTTAAAAGGTATTGATTTCAAATAATGCAATCCTTTTGAAACGGATACCGTACAAGCCTTATTTAAACTTCACAGACAGACACACCTATGATCACACGCACGTTCGCACACGCACACACTAGTACCCGCACAAACAAGTAAACAAATATACCAACACGCACAGGCCAATAAGCGGATAAATATACATACGCACGCACACAAACATCGCATGATTTCACGCACACACATACATATACACACACTCGCGTACGCGCACAAACAAGCAAACACGAATAGGCACAGGCAAGCAAGGCGGATAAATATACGTACGCACGCGCAGAAAGACATGCACGCACGATTGCACGCATGTGCGCACATACACACATACACCGTTCAGACAAGCTGAATATACTACCTGGTGTGCCGTAAGAATGTACGTTTTGCCCGCTCGGAACATGGCGGAGCTGCTGATGCCTCCCGTGAAAAGTTTCTGATCGTGGACCAGGGCAGATATCGTGGCCTCCTTGGCCGGGCCGCCCTCGATCTCGGAGGCGAGGCGGAACGTGACTTCTGCACGAAGGAAGCCTCGGTATACTAAGGGCACTGACAACCCGAGAAACACAAGGTTTAGCGAGTCCGTGAGGATCTAGCTACGCAGCGAATGAGATTGTGCAGTTAGCCTATAAGAGCGGCGAAAAACGAATCACGATGCAAGCAGTGGGAACATAATCAGCCGTGCCCTGCGTTCCGTAGGTGGTCAGTGACTATTGCCGTGAGAACAGAATGGCGTACAAGGACACGGCCGACGAGTAGAGGTCAGTTTACCCTGAGCAATGATCTAGCGAATGACGAGGCAAAAAAAAAAGGACTCGGCGCGATAACGCAATCTGCACAGGGACGAGCGAAACGTCATGCGCATTGCCCATACGCAAAGGACGTTGTTTTTTTGTGTTTTTTTTTTTTTTTTTTGTTCTTTTTATTGTAAGCCGTATATTTCGGCCGCTGTGTAGACCTCAGTGACTGGCCACTGCGCAGCTTTGCGGTAAAGCTTTGTTTCAGAGTGTAGGTGTTGAAAAATGCAAAATACAGAATTAAACATCGGGTTCTTTATGTAGAGAGCAAGTCGTCTGTTTTCTTCCGCAGGAGTTGCGGTGTCAGAAAGATACTCTACTCTGATTGACTCTGGTTGAAGGATATTGGGCAGACCTGAAAGCAAGCTGCCTTGAGGTCTACCTATTATACTTTATTCAAAATCAATCAGGGCTCGGCCTTCTGACGTCACCACAACCCCTACAAAAGAAGCAGACGAACTTGCAATCCGCGTAAGGTTCAGTGTCCTCTTTTTCAAATTCAGAATAAAAATGACATCGACAGCTACACCTACGGTATTTCCAGGGCTCGGTGCATCGGCGATAAATGGGCGAGTGTGATGGGTCGAAGGTGTAGCAGACACCTGTCTTGTAGAAGGTGTATTCGATGAACCACCTGGGAGAAAAATTGCACCAGACAGGAAACACCTTAGCAATAAGCGCAACGATACAAACAGGGTAAACGGTGCTTCCACACAAAAACATACACAGGGCGACTGCCACTGCGCATACGGTATCACGGGCTGCTCCAGAATAAACTAGTCAACTGTGTTTGAGACAAGGTGTTAATGGTTGTTTATTTTATACGTCACGGCTTCGAGCTCAATACATTAGACTTGCACCAACTTGTTTGCATCTTAAGACCGCTCCTTTAGTCTTTCCGTTTTGTTTATTTACAACGCCCGTCTCATACACAAAGAAACAAGATGTTGACTGCATTTCCATGCAGTATTGCCTTGATGTCGTATGAGAAATAACTCTCTTCAGTCAAAAATTGTCAAGAAGTCTAGTTAACTTTTTAAACCCTGGCCCCCTCCTGAACCTTACTATTACCCGTAAGAGGATTCAATGGTTTACTTCCACCTGTGTTCGCATTTTAGAGGCTACGAAAAAACTCGGACAATGCGAAGCTCGTACATATTGGTGCACCGGAACCCTTCGCACGTGTCGGCAGTTGTCTTCATGACGCAGTCCAGGACCAGGTTTTCGATCGGGTACGAGTACTTGATGATCTCTTTCATGATGTGCAACCGGTTGTTCAGGATCGCTTCTTGGAAGTACGACTGCATAGAAAGCCAATGGTGTGGTTAATTGTGTTTGTCTGTGGCTTGCGTGTCCAAAGGAGTGTTCCTGATCAGCTTCTAAGAGAGCGTCACTGTAAACTTCGATTCATAGACTTATTATAATTAGGGTTCCGTGTTTTCGGTATTTATTTTTCTTCAAATTCTGGGGTTATTTATCGGTGTGTCCCATGAATCGATGTTTCTCGGTGTTTAACTTCAATGGCGAAGAGAAATTGGTGTTTATTAGGCTTGTGTTGTAAAGCGACTGTATAATTGATGGGGAAAGTGTTATAATTTATAAGTTATCAATCATAATATTTTCTCCAGTAATGCAGGTATAAATAAGAGAAGGCAAAAGGGCAAGGAATGTGGTTTCGATAGAAAGGAATAACCTTAAGGACAATTCAGTGCAACTTTGTTCCGGGTCAACGAGAAAACAAATATAGTAGAGTAGAAGATTTATTTCCATGTAGTAAATAGCTTGAAATATTTCTCAATCACGTAAATTAAACTATTGGTCAGTTACAGTGTTTTATTAAAAATTCATGGCAATAAGCACTGTGCTAAAATGGCCCCATATATGCATTTATGTGCACTATCGGGCACTGTTAGCGCGAACACATCGTCTGCGCTTTTTTAAGTCGAAAATTTACGTGTCAAACGAACGAAGGACAGTTTGAAGTAACACTGGATAAGTAAATCCCTGTGAGTGTAGACGATCAAAATAAAGTGAAAACCAAGTAATAGAGTCCGCTTTGCAGTAAATAAGTACTGCTTTATTCTCTCGGATCGTGCTATCTGCGAAGATGTTTGTTCTGGGTTCAAAACATGATAAGCAGCACGCTCGAAATCTTTAAAAATATGAATAAGCCAGAAAGCAAGAGTCCAATAAAAGCTGCCGCATAAAAAGTAATAAAAAGAAACAATTCCCTACCGAAAAATCCGGTATAACTTTTCACTATCCGGATTATGGAACCGTAAATTTGTTACTGGAAACCCGAAATCCAGATTGCAGACAAAGGAATAATTTCTTACAACCTCAATTCCAGATAGAGTCCGGATAGAATCCAGATAGATTTCCGGTTCCATAATCCGGATAGCGAAAAGTTATACCGGATTTTTCGGTAGGGTTCCTAGCCCACATAGTATTATTTACGTTTTAAATGTTTTAACCGCTCGTAAAAATTCACGACGGGGTTATTTTCATACAGCTTACGACGTAATTATTCGTAATACTTGCTCTTATAATCAAGCGCAGAAAAAAAATACACTCGATTTTTCCCGTAAAAATGCATTACCGGAAGTTAATTTTCGACTGGTTGCTGTCTGCTTCAACTTGCAACGGCACACTAGCGCCAGCTGAACCTCTGGCGTACATTATAATAACTCTATGCTTCGACCTATGGTAACAAAATGACCAAGCCAGAGAGTCGCGTTCCTTCTCCTTTCGACCAGAAAAATTATTAAATGGCTTGCGGGAAAGCAGCTTTGCAGAGCACCGAGTTTTGGACAATTTGTATGAACGCTTGGTTAATTTGGACGCCTGATAAATTTGTCTTTATCGCCGGCTCCACCGACTCTAAGTTACCAGTGTCGCCGGCTGCGCGGTTCAGCGGAAAACAGATGCACTCCGTCTATTTCAGTTACACGGCGGCGTTCCCTCATAGTTAAATTGCTCCGGTAATTACGTAGGTACTTTAACTTCAGCATTTTATCCTAATCAACAGAGAATCATTTGGGAAGAGTTCGACCTTTTTTTGAGCGTAGTTTATTTTGTAGTGCATAAGGCAAGGCGATTCAAGTTTTTAGAAGACGCAGAAATGTTTCAAAAGCCGGGATTCACAATGATAAAGCAAACTACACCGACTTGACTTACCAGTATTAACAATCTAATGAGACGTTTCGCCTCCCACGCGGGAGACATCAATAGTGCGCGTTCAGAAAACACGAATGAGGGAAGTACAGAAACTGGAAGGCTCTTTAAGGACATCCGCGTACACTTCGGGAAAAAGGTTTCGGTATGCACTGCAGGCGGATACGTCACTACGAGTGCACCACGACTCCAGAAACTTTCTTGTGCCCCACCTTTGTCCTTGCGCCAATGTCACTGCGCTCAGAAAATCAAACTTAGACATACCGTATCAAGCGTGCTGCACCCTTTACCAGTATGTTCCCAACAAATTCTCGATAGGTTCGTCCTGGAAAAAAAAGAGCGAAATATGAAGCCACCCAAGGGAACGGTCTTGGACAAATCAGAGGGGAAAGAAAGGACCCCGTGAAGCTTGACTCTAGTCTGACTCTATGTGCAAAATCATACGTCTCGAATAGAAAGTGACCTTCTCAAGTTAAATTTTATCCGTTTCATTTACTTTTTAGCATAAAACATGAGCCGTTTCATTGAAACGTAGCGTTTATATTTTACTATTATTTTTTAGGTCACTAGTTATATATTGCTGCGCGTTTCCCCATTGCCCAGATCGCGAAAATACTACCTGTATCGGGAACACTGTCACAATGGGCATACTAAACGTTCTAGTTCATTTCCTGTTTTCTTCCCGGACTGCTTCTTAGTGTGCTGAATTTACTGCATGCACAAAGCACAAGCCGCTGATTTGCTCTCCGCTTGCTCGGTGGGGAAGTATAACACGAGTCCATTACTGGGAGTGTGTCGGGTCGTCAGGAGTCGTGTCCATCGCTTACGCCTCCTTGTTGCAGACGGTGACGGCCGGAAACTTTGTGCCTTCCATGGAGCTCTGTTGCAGCACCACCGTCGTCTCGAACCGCTGGTAGCTCGTGTAGTCCAGGTGGACAGAGTAAAAGCAGACCACGAGACAGCCGCTGTACGCCAGCGTCCTCACCGTCTCCAAGAAGCACATGATGCTGCGGTCCAAGAAGTGACAACGTACGTATACTACTTCAATTACGTTCTTCCTTAAAGTGTTTAAACCAACCGTCTAAGCTTTGTTTTAAAGTAACGCTGCGACCCCCGCCCCCTTTCCTTTAATGTTTTACTAACAAAGTCCAAGTCGGTATCTCTTTCGGAAATATTGCGATAGTATATTTAAAATTATTACCCGATTTGTGGAGTTTTTTCTTGTTTGTTTTACTTGGAGTTATTTGAATAAATTCAGGTGTACATTTGAATGAGCCGCTCATAGCAATCATTTAGGAATATTACAGGTACCGGGAATCTTGGCGTACAGTTTGAATACATAAGGCGAATTATACATTGCTGGATGGTTGCGGAGTTTTAACTCATGCCCTGACGTTGAATTCATTTAAAAGTTTTTTTTTTTTTTTTTTGCCCCAAATGATAAGCCTAATTTTGCAGGAATTCGTAGATGGGACGAGGTGTTTCTTTTTTCTCTGATTAACCTCGAAACATTTCTTCTATAGATAGTTTCATAGCCTGAAGTATATCGTGTTGGTATATTAGCAGAATTCCTTTCCAGCACTTGCCTCGCTCGTCCAAGCACCGATCTGGCCTTTTGGCGAAGCGATCCTAGGATCCATCTGGCTGTGGTGTACAAAATAAGGTAGATGGAAAGGCCTAACCAGAGGCCTAGATAGCCTCCGATGATGCCGAGAATTTGCGTTCCCTACGCCAGTGAGAAATAAAAAAAAAATAAAAAAAGGTTGTATAGATATGGGCAATGAAGTCTAACGATCTCTAATTCGAGGAGCGTTTAAGACGGGAAGTAAAAAAATGCACCGGTAAACGTAAAAATAAAAAAAAAATCCCAGAAATTGACTTTTTTGTGTGTGTTTGTAAATTCCGTTTCCCTGTTTCATGTTTCGGTTTTCGTCGCAAAATTGGACGTGCGGTGGTTCCCGACTTCTCTCTCTCCTTCACGTCTTCTCCGCTAGGCGTGGTCGCCTTGTTTGGAGCAGCAAATGCACGCGTCGAAATCCCCCCCATACCGCGACGCACTCGGAGCATCAATCGTTGGTCCCCTTTTTGGTCAGTTCAACCAAGAAGAAGAAATATCGTTATCCCGCTCCAATAGCTATGCAGCATATCGATCGTATCCTGCCAGTCATGCACCCGTCGCATCTAACCATAACGTCGTGCTTCGGTAAATAGCATATATAGGGGACGCGTCTGCTTGCATAAAACACCACTGAGTCACACGACAGCGCTTCAAGATACGGCGGGACATTTTCATTATTGGTATCTGAGCCGCAGTCGAAACGCTCATGCATCACACAAAGGACACTTCGTTCACTGCAGACACAATGGCAAAATTATTTGAGGACACGCCTCACACATTTGTTCGAAGCATGTTTTCTTTATACATTCGCGTGCTTCAAACATGTCGCTAAGGATTGCTTTTGTGTGACTGATGACGTCATCATACAAAGTAGAAACACACCTCCGACGCTGTCTGCGGAGTACCTTTTGTATGACGTGTCAGCAGTGTGACCTCGGCATTAAACATTGCAGTATACATAGAGGCGCTTATTAGAGTGGAAATGAGTATATCAAGTTCGATGCATGCCTACGTGTTTTGATGGGTCTCAAGATGCTGCACATTTTTTCCCGCTTTTTTTTTTAGTGTAACGTAGATTAGGCTTTCTGCGCTGCAGCTTCAAAGTAACTCTGGTGCCCTCTCTTTGGGTAGTACAAGCTCATCGAATGGGGCTTCGCACTATACTTCTGGCGCCCTCGCTTTCGGTAATACAATTTCGCCTGATTGGAAACCAGGGGCACTTTGTATGACGACCTCAATGCTGGTATCCCAAAAATACGATGGCATTCTTTTTTCTTTCTTGAAATGTGGTAGTTGGACATATACGCAGCTGCTAGCAGCACGCCTCGACGCGGCCATGTTCACCCCTGAGCACGTTCTATTGCAGCGTCTGTAAAAGTTATCTTACGGTGCATGCTGCACATGTTTGCAATCATGGTGTACTACACGCCCTTTTGCATTTTAGAAAAAAAAACTCGTTCTTATCCAGGAAAAATAATTATCTGCAAAGGCGCTTCTCACATACCTGTATCAGGGGAATGATCTGCATAACATCAACAGATCTTGATGTCATCAAAAACTTTAGTCGGATGTAATATTCGCTGTAAACAAACACACAAACATGATTCAATTTTGAAGCTCTGTAGATTATTGAAGTATTTTCTTACCCTTCAATTTCTGGGTTATAAGTCAACCAGAATGACTGCTTCGTTTCATATATGTATTCTCTGCAAGAGAAAGATAAATGATTTGTGTTGGCTCAAATTCTGTAAAGACAAGCGCGACTCAATATGAATAAGCGGTGATCGGACATTTTATTTTCTATCAGAACTGAAACACCACGATCAAAATTGTAAAATAATTAAGTAGGCCTTTGTAATATCCTCTATGGGATAAATGCGAAATAAAAAAAAACGCCGATCGCATGTTCGCGTTAACTGTCAGGTGCAAACATACACTTAACACTTGTTCGTGGCAAGAATTATATTTATATAACGTTCGGAAATCGAAGCGCGATCGCCCTCCACACAAGTTTAACACGTGCAAAGCCAGAAAACATCAAACGCATGATAGAGCGCTCTGTTGTCAAGCGTCGTGCTGACAGACTGAGACTGAAAAAAGACGCTATATATATATATAACACAAAATGTGGGCCCATGAAGATTTTTTTACATCCACCGAAACCGTATTTTCATATGCTGTACAGGTTCAATACACTTTATTTTGCCCGCCAGTAACAGCAGTGGTTCATGTTTCATTTTCTTTCGACATCTCCTGTGCGCCGCCTTCCGTCCTTCTGCATTCTGCTTTGATCAGGAACCATGTGGTCACGTCGATCAAGTTTCCTATACTATATTGTTTTACTATTAGTCAAATTGCAGACGATGGTATACGTGCAGATGGCGCCATGCTTTTCGAGACAGTTTTTAGAAGTTTATTTTAAATTATTTGATTCGCTATTTATATCAAAGACCACGGTTGTTCAGAGACAAACACGTGAGCAAGAAACTTTACGAAACTCACTTGCAACCTTTCCCACATTTCTTGTTGCAGGTCTCAACCATTTTCCGGCGGCTCTTTTGCACGCATGTGGCTAAAACAAAAATTACACCGGTAAGCTAGATAAGTCGAAGATGAACTTTTTTCGTAATTATTGGATGTTTTGAATGACGAGAAGTGTTGTTCATTCGTTGTTAAATTCCTCACACGTATCTTCTTATTGTGTGCCAATGCCTGCAATAATCCCTTCCGGGATTTGCAGTATTTTGAAATAAATAAAATAAATAAATAAAAACATAAAATACCCCAGCCCTCCTCAAACGCACATTTCCGCAAACAATAATTATGACCTTATCAATAATAAAACTCGAAGTGCACTGCCTTTATGCGCAGATAGGCACTCGACTGAAGTATGAAACACCACCCGTTTTGAAAAGGCCCCTGCCAGGAACCCAAAAGGACATAGACCTCACCTGTTTGATGATGAGTACAGGCCGTGTCATTCATCTCATGACGAAACGCATAGTCTTGAAGCAAGCAACCGCAGGACTGCTGAATAACATTTGCCCTACACTCTTCGTAGCAAAGCTGGAGTAAAAGATGCGACAATTAGGACCAGTGTTGTGCCAAATGTTCAACAAAAGTATTTAAGATAAGATACTAAATACCCATTTGAAAATGTATTTAGAATAGTATTAGATTTACTTTTAGTATAAACTATCAGGAGTAGAGTACAGATACTTTGAAAAAGTAATTGAATTACATTCTATTATACTTGGCAAGTTTTGCATGCTGGTAATATGAGGATTAGAAGATAGGAAGGGGTGCTCCAATTCGTGATGACTACTCTAAAAATCAAATTTTCTGTGATTTTTATGACCTTGAGGAAGCACCTTAGCTTCTGCTAAGGAACAAACGAGACTCATATATTGAAGACATGGCACCTTCCGTGCGTTAAATTGACGGCAGGCTCGGCTCATGATGCATTCCGCAATAAGTTTGCAATATGCCCCTTCGCGATTCGGGGACTTGACATGTAGTCCGGCACTGACAAACTATACTATAATTCGTCTCACCTTAGCATAGACTATTGTAAACCGCGTATGCTAAGCACAAGCTAGTTGCTTTGTATGATGTCTCAGAGGCTCAGCGGCTGCACGAACGCTCGTGCAGCGAATGCTCCAGTCAAGGTAGTGAAGGCTAACCGCTCGCGCTTGGACAGCCTAGGCAACACCACCTAGATAAAAAGCCTCCGCACGCATCGTCACAGTCAGATCGATCGAGGCGTGAGATTGGGCATGAGTGCTGCGTCAGTGTTTGGCTGGGGCTCGTGTCCAATGAGCGCGTCGAGGGTGGGGCGCAGGCCCAATGGCCGAGTTAGCGCGATCCGACTCTGATGACGTTTCATGAAGGGAGAGGAGGCCATGCGAAGGCTTTCATTATCCTGAGTGGTGTTGGCCTACGGCACCGCTATCTTGAAATATCGTCACTTCCAGTATGGGCGAAAACTTTGTTTTGCCGTTGCCACGCCAACAGAATGCATTTAGGGTATAAGCGTAACCGTCACTCATTATCGTTTTGTCTCCCCTCTATCTTTTTTTTTTAATTATTTTCAGGTTGAAATGTCTGAGTATTTTTTTCTTGGCCCATACCGGATATGCCTACCAGGTGGCTGGGGACGAGAGTTAGTGAAAGATTAGGAAGCCAGACTTGTTGATGGATACGCGAGTGAGACACACGTGCACGCTCAGGAGAAACATCGACTCGAGAACAGCAGTTTTTGTCGCTGATTAACAACCAAAAGCGAGTACTTTGTCCCCCCCCCCCTCCCCCCTCCCTAGTCAAAATCGAGAAGAAGCACCTGTACCTTCAAACTGTAAAAAGAAAAAAAAAAGAGGTCTGGAGGGAAGCATAGAAACAGAGGAGAGTGTCTAGAAGACCGCTTCTAAACCTCCTTTCCCTGCCTCCTTCGGCACCAGCTCAAACCATTCTTGAAGCATTGAGCTCAAGATGGTCAAGATCCCAGAATCAGAATCCACTAGTTCATAAATGACTCCACCTGGCGGAAAACTGGTTTCGAGTATTTTGAGGATGAAACAATGCGGGCATTCGAACGGAGGTGATAGAAACGATCTTGAACAAGCTTCGGAGAAAACGTTGAGCCACAAAAGGCACAAATGAAGATTTGGGGAAGCCAAATTCAGGTCACTGCACCTCAATAAAGCTGCAGGATCTAGCTTCTTTAGCTGAGGGAGTGCCTGTGCGCGCATAAAAACGGATGAAAACGAGAAAGCGGCAATTTCCGAAAAAAATGGTTCATTGGGATCGTACCGAGCGTTGGCGTCACAATCCGCTGCTGACGGAACCACTCTAGCTGAGACAAAATGTGGGGTCTGAGTGGAAATTCCGGATAACGTCACCAGCACTTTGTTAGCTCCAAGCGTGTCGTGCCATAAAGAGGCTATTGCAGTAAAAAAGCGTTTACGCCAAGAGGGAACTGAACCAAGACCATTTAGATTATTATGCAAGTGTCTTTCCAACATATTAGAACGCGTTTTTTTTTTTCTTTTCTTTATTGTTGCATATTACGACATTTCATCGTGAGTTGAAGTTCTATTTGGCAGAAAAGCCATGCCAGGTATCCGCTTTGCGTCCGCCAAATAGCAACTTGACACCCTGTCACACATGTTTAAATCCCAAGTTAGCGCCGGCATCTCCATTCTAAGAAAGGCTATCGAGTGTACATGCCACGCGTTAAGCCAGTCACTGAACTAACCAATGAAGAATGCGAGAGCGCAGACGCCACACGTTTCAGGTGCAACACAATTGTTCAGCGATTTGCTATGCATTTTTGTAAACACGTCGCATGAACGTCATGTCTTTTGTTTAAAGACTCTGGCATTCCCTGAGCCTTTAAAATTAATCTCACGTCGAATGAATTTTTTTTTCTTATATTGCACCCGCCTATAATGACAAACTAGTTTTAGTTTTAGAGCCACAACATTCTTTTTAAGAGAGAGAGAGAGAGAGAGAGAAAGAAAGAAAGGAAGGAAGAGAATCATAGAAGACTTGAGAAAGACTTGATTTTTATACTATATAAACACCACTCTGTATTTGGGCACGGCTTTTTTATCTGGGTTAAACTGTCTATGAGAGCAAATACAAGTATCTGGAGATTATAAAAAATACACCTCGTTATATTTGTATCTTGCCGTGAAATACTTCCCTAAAAAGTGCAATTGAATTTGTAATTAGATACATATTTCTCAAAGTATTTTGTATTTTAATTTCAATACTTTTCTATGCGGATTTTGCCCATCCCTGGGTGGTATGTACTTCAAGTTCAAGTTCAAGTTGTGTTCGCCTCAAAGATGTTCGTTGGGACGTATTACATGAGGGGGATATTTTGTACCGACACTGCCGATAAAATTTCGCGTTCTTCAATAACCTCTCTAACAAAGCGACAAGCGCCGACGTCGTGTTTGTTGTGACGGTATCAGATATGTGCACATTAAATTTACTTAGGACACAAAAACAAACAATAATAATCACTTGAAATAATTAACAAAAATATTACCAGTACAAGAGACGTCGATGTTATAAAATTTAGATATCAGCGTTCTCTCAAGTGCTGCAATTCGTAAGCTATATTATACTGTAGCTCTCAAAATGTTCCATGAAAGTGATGTCTTACTTCTTTTGTGTAGATGGTGGAATGGAAGCGGAAACGTTGCTTAGCGTAGTCTGTGCACTTTGTGTCATACGGCGCCGGTAGGTAGTTGACGACTTTCTGAAAGCAGAGTGACCAGTGAAAGCACGAAGCGATCAGGGAAACCTTTCTGATTACCTGACACTCCGTATTGCAGCTAACAAGGGATTCCGAAGCGTGCGCGCTTCGTTAGGAACCCAGCAGCGCACCTAAACTACGACTAAAATAATAGCGTGCTAAAAGGGGGGGGGGGGGGGGGGGGGGGGTGTAGTGGGGGTGTAGGTCTTTAACGCACACGCGGAAGTGACAGTGACACTATTTTTCGTGTCTGCTTAAAAGCAAGCGTTGGTTCAATAATAAAAAAAAGGAAATTGGTGTTTGTATGGTTATACAGCCTGAACTTAGTCTGCCTTAACGAGGCGACTTGTCTCTCAGCTGTATATGGGTAATTTAGCCAGTAAGGTACAACCTCATTACGAACCAGCGCACACGTAGACAGTTATTCAAAATCCAAACACACAAAAAAATACACTCACACAGCGCTGAACTATCAACCTGATTTGTATTTCAAACTTCCTTTTCTTCGACCCCCAGGGAAAAGGTTGCCAAGGAAGAAAAGGGGAAAGACAAGGCAAAGGGGAGAAGACGAAAGAAAAAGAAAAGGAAAACGTTTGAGTGATGCAAAAAGTCCAAGAGTTACAAAAATTAGTTGTTAAATAATATCAGATGTAAACAAAACCAGTGGTTATACAGGCTTACTGTCTTAAACACACTCTGTCAAAATATTGCAGTTCTTTCTCTGATAACGCTAAGGACGGAGTGCTAACGCACTGGGCTTCCCGTCTTGCAATGTTCTCCGCTTCTATAATTTCTCGGGTGAGCTGGTTTTTACTCCTGCCTAACACAGCACAGTTGTCCAGTCGCGCAAAACAGCCACAATCCCTACAGTGAATACCTAGGTGACCGGAGTTGACATTGGCAATGTTGTTGTTGTGCTCTCGCAGGCGGTCGTTTAAACACCGCCCCGTCTGTCCAATGTACTCTTTTCCACAGGAAAGGGGGAAACAAATAGACTACCCCTTCTACACACGGAACAAAGTTGGATCTGTGTTTCTTTGCGCAGCTGACGGTGCTGATTGACGAGGTGTTTACTTTTTTGCAGAGGCTGTAAAGTTTGTGTGGTGCTGAAAACACTACATTCACATTTGCCCTGTTGGCTGTTTTCTTTAGACCATGAGATAGATTATGCATATATGGCACAACTACCGGTCTGGTTGTCCTGTCTCTGGGTATTTTTGCGGCGGTACCGAGCTTGATCTCTCTGAGGAGAACCTCGGTTACCGACGTCAATATGGGTAGAGGATATCCAGCGGACCTTAGCCTTGATACTTGTACGTCGAAGCTCGTCTGCATTGAATGTAAGCATGATTTGCTGATAGAGTTCTTAAGGCATGACCTCACTATACCTCTTTTTACAAGCTTGGAATGTGCAGAGTTAAATGGTAGAAGAGGTTTCTTTCCACTGGGTTCATAGGACCAACAGATGTGATATGGTAGCACATACAGTCGAAGATCCAGGAATCGTAATGATTTCTTCAGCGCCAAAACCCACAAACCAGGATGTCCCCTTAGAGTCATTGTCTCAGAAAGAGGAACATGGCAAAAGTCGGTGGCAATATTCCTTCAGAAGAGGCTAAATCTGCTAAAGATTGACGATCCCTACCTGGTTCGAAGTTCGTACGAGGTCTTCAGCTTTCTAAAGAACATCGTCAGGAAGAGCTGAAGATATTTTCCATCGATATCAAGGACCTATATTATTCCTTACCCCAAGAACGTCTCCTAAAATGTGTGGAAGAAAGCATTGACGCTTTTGGCGTCATACCCTTTATGAACGCGGCGAGTCTGTCCCAAAGTCAGTTTCTGGACTTACTGAAGATCTATTTGAAGTCCACCTTCGCGGCTTGGGATGGAAATGCCTACCTACAAAAGACGGGAGTATGCATAGGATCCAGCTTTGCTCCAGTCCTTAGTGACATCTTTCTTGCACATCAAGACAGGAGTCTACAACGAATATTGGATACATCAAAAGCAGTGAAAGTATGTAGATATGTAGATGATTTTTTTTAATCTTCCTTGCTACAGATGTTACTGACTTCACAGCCATGGTGGAAGAGGTCCTCTACAATTTCAAGAACTGTATGAATCCTCTGGAACTCACCTACGAACTGCCGGTCGAAAGATCATTACGATTCCTGGATCTTCGACTGTATGTGCTACCATATTACATCTGTTGGTCCTATGAACCCAGGGGAAAGAAACCTCTTCTACCATTCAACTCTGCACATTCCAAGCTTGTAAAAAGAGGTATAATGAGGTCATGCCTTAAGAACTCTATCAGCAAGTCATGCTTACATTCAATGCAGACGAGCTTCGACGTACAAGTATCAAGGCTAAGGTCCGCTGGATATCCTCTACCCATATTGACGTCGGTAACCGAGGTTCTCCTCAGAGAAATCAAGCTCGGTAGCGCCGCAAAAATACCCAGAGACAGGACAACCAGACCGGTAGTTGTGCCATATATGCATAATCTATCTCATGGTCTAAAGAAAATAGCCAGCAGGGCAAATGTGAATGTAGTGTTTTCAGCACCACACAAACTTCACAGCCCCTGCAAAAAAGTAAACACCTCGTCAATCAGCACCGTCAGCTGCGCAAAGAAACACAGATCCAACTTTGTTCCGTGTGTAGAAGGGGTAGTCTATTCGTTTCCCCCTTTCCTGTGGAAAAGAGTTCATTGGACAGACGGGGCGGTGTTTAAACGACCGCCTGCGAGAGCACAACAACATGGCCAATGCCAACTCAGGTCACCTAGGTATTCACTGTAGGGATTGTGGCTGTTTTGCGCGACTGGACAACTGTGCTGTGTTAGGCAGGAGTAAAAACCAGCTCACCCGAGAAATTATAGAAGCGGAGAACATTGCAAGACGGGAAGCCCAGTGCGTTAGCACTCCGTCCTTAGCTTTATCAGAGAAAGAACTGCAATATTTAGACAGAGTGTGTTTAAGACAGTAAGCCAGTATAACCACTGGTTTTGTTTGCATCTGATATTATTTAACAACTAATTTTTGTAACTCTTGGACTTTTTGCACCACTCAAACGTTTTCCTTTTCTTTTTCTTTCATCTTCTCCCCTTTGCCTTGTCTTTCCCCTTTTCTTCCTTGGCAACCTATTCCCTGGAGGGTCGAAGAAGAGGAAGTCTGAAATACAAATCAGTTGATAGTTCAGCGCTGTGTGAGTGTATTTTTTTTTGTGTGTGTTTGGATTTTGAATAACTGTCTACGTGTGCGCTGGTTCGTAATGATGTCTTACCAGCTCGCCCAATCTGCAGTATTAAAAGGTACAACCGCTAGCCTGGGGTCCTTTACGTGCACCAAGTCGTTCGATGGCAGTGGCACAAATCCACCGCTGTACGTAGGAACTTTTACAGCTGTTCATTGATAACTTTCGGCGCTCACCGAACATACAAAAGGCTATCGTTGAACAAAGCCGTTTCTGCATATCTGTCTCTCGGGAAGCCTGAGGTTCGAACAGATATCACCACAACATTGATGCAATTGACTCTACACATAATTTGACGACAGTGACAACACTCTGTTTCCCGCGCTCAGGAGCCACGCATTTTCGCGAGAAATCTGGGTCCGGTCAAAAGGCCCCTTTCCAGCGCACTCTTAAGTATTTTTCCTTGTGCCACGAACACCACTCCCACAAAACTGCGCAAGGCCTATTTATCTTTTTAGGCAATATAAAGTTACTGGACGCCTTGCGAGAATTTTGAACACGGCTTGCTGTCGTACCTGTTCGAGCGAGAAGATGTACTCGCCAGAAGGCTCTACCACAATGGCATGCTTCATGCCGGCTGACGTGCTGTCCACGTCGTGAAAGCCGATATCCATTTCGTACGGATCCATGACGATGATCTCGTCGGGAATCCAATAGAAGAGCAGCTTGGCCTCTGTGAAACGTGTCGTGAATATCACATACGCCATCCTCAAAACAATCGAGAACGTTCGTTCGTGTCGAAGCTGGTATGAGAAGAACTGGACAAGGAATATTCTGAAGACCCCGAGTGGCAGCCATTGTTTTTGAGAGAGGCGCAGGTGCTTTACAACGCCCTGAAGACGCTAGGAAGGTCTCCTACCGAAACGTCGTTGCCACTCAGAACTTTCAGTAGCTTTAGGAGCTTTCTTTTTCTTTTTCTTTTTCTCTTTTTTTTTTTTTTCTTTTTTAACGTATTTCAATATTCAGCCAGAACACCTACTACCCTTGTTGCCATTCTCGAAGACCATGATTGTGGTTAACTATAGCAACTGCTGATTTCTATACCCATTTGTTGGATCGCGTTTGCCCACTCCGCGAATGCGGCCACGGTCGGCCATCTTTTTCGTAGAGTTATTTTATCTCTAGCCACGACATAATAGTACGGTGGCGCAATCTACCGCCCGTTAGATAGGGTACACGTTTTCCACCCACGGCTGAAGGGCCGCCGGGCGACTTCGTGGAAACCTTGAGAACGAATACATTTTTTCACGGAACGTATTCCTACGCCTCAGGATAGTTCCAAAACACTGAATACCTACCGATAGTAAGTTCTTGTCCTTTCGCGATCGGGGCGATTTGAACAGCGCGTCCCATATATGACGGCATAGTCGATCATCCTCTGTCGCACTCACTCAGCTTCAAGAATCTGCCTCGTCGAGCGACTTCAATCAAGCACAAAATATCACCCACGGTACAGTGTACTGGACCCACGGCTATTTTTATGGCAGCCTGCCGCCACCAGCGCTGTCCGCCGTATTACCATTATGGCTGATGGCCACCCGTGGCCACATTCCTGTGCATAGCCAGAACTGGGCAAACGCGATCCAGCAAATAGTCATAGAGATCAGTGACAACACCCTTGTAACTTCGAAAGCTTTCAAATTTTTTGCAACTGCACGCACTTTTTTATCTTTATCTCGATAATGTAGTCATTTTGTACAGTACTAAGTCTTCCAAACTAACAAAAAAGTACATAAAACAAATTTTGTTGATTTAACTGTTTATGGTCAGGGACACGTTGAGAACCCAATAAATGTTCCGCTTCCAGGGCGAGCATTCTATTCTTAATAACACTTCGTCGCGCTTGCAGCCGAAGCCCGGAGCCTGCTCGGAAAACTTACGGAATATCAGGGGATTCTGGTGGACGAACTTCATAAATTGCTCTTTTCTCCAGTCCATCGTGAAGCACATGTGCTTCGGTAGCTTCGAAAATGAAAGCTGGACCGATCTGAAAGCAGGCAAAACAACGCCATTTCGGAACAAGTGAAAGGTACTCAATTAACAAAGCGATACTATTTAGAGACTGCTAAATTGTCGAATAATATACGTAAAGCGCGCAACCATTTTGTTCTCAGTATTTGTTGTTTAAGAAAATTTCTAAAGTATAGAAGCCCGTCTTTGAGACACGTCTTAGCATTCAAAACTTTCTCAACACCTTAATTAAGTGGCCAGGTTCTTAGTTATATATCACTGGGGATTCCAAGTTAGGTAATTATGTTTCGCTTGTGCTAATTTCGTTATGCCGCCCTAAAGAAAGGGGTTCACATTAGAGGAACTGAGAGGACGAATGAACACTAATTTTCTTATAAGATTGAAATAAATATTCGTTATTGTTCAATAAAGACACAGTGCAAACGTATTTACAGCCACATCAATAACAAAGGCAAAATGCAAAATGAAATGTTGCAAATAAAAACAAACTCTTTGCGAAAGTACGTCTCGACGAAATAGAAGGTCGGGTTGAGGAATCCAAACTGTATAACGTCTTCAGGTCGAACGGCCACGTCAACCAAATTGGGTTCTGTCTCCAGGATCAGGAGGATCTTCTCCCGCTGTTGAAACAAAGAAGCCCGCATTCAACCACACACCAGACGGTCTCTATTGTAAAATCAAAAGTTTTCAGAAAACAAGAATCCACTCTTTTAGTGCAGCAGTATTACAAGCGTACTACAACTTCACGTCACTATAGTCATATGTGGCAGGAGAGACGCGTATATTCGTGATAGATCTATATGTTGTTGTTGTTGTTGTTGTTTTATTAGTAGAGTCTACTAGAAAAACGTTTGACCTATGCAAGGTAGCTCTTTAGGTAGCAACATGATCTGAGAATATTTATTCACGCTCCGAAAAAAAACTTTTAATTGACTCAATATCTTGACAAATAGGTGACCCAGAGTGAGAATTTAAAAAAAAATTGTTCTGCATGTTTTTTTTTTTCTTGTTTTTTTATGTTGCGTGTGACGACTCAATATGTGGTAAAGCCTCCTTTCTAGATGTCGCTGGTTGCAAAAGCAGCAAAAAACAGAAACCTTTATGCACTCATGCAAGGGGTACTATTCTAAAAAGCCATGCTAAAGACATCATCCTGAGACACGAAAAAATAAAATATGGACAAGTTATATGTCGTGTTGGCTGTTATTCTGTTGTTTCCTGTCTGAGGGTTTAGATTCTGATGTTTTCCAACCAGCTCTCCTTCATACTTTCGTGTCTTGCTAAAGACATTTGGATTTATAAGTCACTCCTGCAGTTTATATGGTCAAATTACATAATCAGTAATATATGGGTAATTCATTTGGAACAGTATATGATTCTTGATGTTCGATCTCCTAATTTTATCGTACATAACACTTTGAGTCACGTACGTACATATAAAAATAAAAAGTTACAAACAAACGGTGATCAGTGAACACCCTTTTCTGGTATTAGGATCTTTGTACAAGGTGTCATAAAAACAAATTTGCAGGTTCTTTTTTAACCACAAAAATAAACTAAGCATCACCTAACGCTCATTCTCCGCCCAAAGGTAGCGCTAGAGGTCACAACCAGATGCCAAAGTGTCAGCCCGAATGGGCACCTTATTCAAAAGTTTTAAGTAATTTTTTGAAAATTTTAATGGGAAAATGGAGCCCATTCTTGCACGTTTAAGCTTTCTGGTGCATAGAGTCCCATGTATGCGAAAACTCCGTTGGCCACCATTTTCCCATTGAAATTTTCAGAAAATCACTTCTAACTTTTGAATAAGGTGTCCGTTCGGGCTGAAACTTTGGCGTCTCGTTGTGACCTCTAGCGCTACTCTTGGGCGGAGAATGAGCATTCGGCAATGTCTAATTTATTTTTGCGGTAAAATTTTTTTTGACACCCTGTAGTTTCTAAACGAAATGGTGACGCATGCAAATGAGGCTTTGTTGAATTTGCTTACCCATCGAGTATCGCTGAAATTGCAAGCCGACTTGTACCGTTCGCAAAATATTCTTCTATTTACCCTGTAATTCGGAAAGGACAACTTTTGTTCTACTCGGTTGTCAGAGCTGGACAGAGTGGGCCGTCCTTTCCAGGGTGCTTTAGACCAGGCTGTGGCCCCTCCTAGTCCAACACGTTAAAAACCTGCTCGGCAAAGAGTGGTAAACTACCGCAACTGAGCTCAGGACACGGAAGTAAAAAATAAATATTGTCTCTATTTCTCTTTCGGTTGTCGTGACTGAATTTTTTACACGTTCTTCTTTTAATTATTTCGTAATTGGTGCTTTTTTCATTTTAGGGCAAGTCTTATGATGTGTTGTAAAGCACAGAATTATACAGACCCCTTCAAATATTAGCCCAAAGTGTCGTGCGCAAAAGACACTCAGAAAATGGCAAGTATATCACTCGTCTACAGTCTCATTAAAGGAAGTATTATACCAGTTATAGACTTGCCAGCTTGTTGGTGTTTTTTTGCGCACAACATCTTTCAGTACTTTCAGATCGACCATTAGGTGGCGCAATCTTTTAAAACGTATATTATGCTACTCTTGAGAGTACAAATATAAAATATTTATGGCGGTACTTCGACCGTACCGAACAAAATCGTGATACGTAGAGTGCGTTTTTGGTGGTCGCTAATTCTGGACTCAATCTTTTGTGGACTGGACCTCATACCGCGACTTCCAAACCAATGCGTAATGCGCCTGTATTGCAGCAAACTTATTTACTTAGATATTGTCAATGATTAGATGAGAACGGTTTGAAAGTATAGGTCACGGGCCGTCTACACAGCATCGTTGTTGTCCTCCGTAAGTTTTGGCACGCGCCCCTGCCAAACCACGACAGTATATTGTAACCACAGATGATTCTTTCATCTTTCATCTTCTTCCTCTACGCTTAGAGACAGATACTGCTCGAGCCGCAACGCCATTGGTTGTTGCTATGGTGACACAATCGCTTACGCCAACCAATGAAATTGAGGGAGGGACACTGCGAGGGAGTCCTGCTGCGGCGGTGACACTATGGTATATTGTTCTTTCGGTCGTAATGCTTTTGCGTATCACTTTTGCATCTCGCTTTTGCGTCTCGCTCGTTCGCCTTACGTGTTTACCAGTTATCCTTTGACAGAAAAATAACCGTACGCTCAAACTTATAGCAGGTGTCATTTACGTGCCAGTTAAGCTATCAGATATATGGCCGGTACAGCTTAATTTTCTGCAACTTTCCCGTGTTCGTAGTGACGTCATCATGGCACCCGCGGAATTCTTTAAGTGCGTTTCAAATGTGGTTCTCGGTTCCCCACGAGTTTGCATTCTTTCCTAGTGAGAATGCATCAGAATATCGGGTTCTCTTGCGATAAATATTACAAACTAGAAATAATAAGAAAAAAGATAGATTTATAAAAAAAAGGGGGGGGGGGGAGAGAGGCGTGTAAAAGGAAATCCAAGCGCATGGACAGACAAGAGTTGTTGCTCTTGGCAATCCCCCCTTCTTTTGTTCCTCTTCCACCCTCCCTTTTCGACCTCCTATCACCGCGCTGGTTAGAAAACTAATGGCCTTCGTTCAATTATCTGGCCTATAAAACACTCTACAGATATACCCCCAGCCCTCCACGACGGTCATTCGTTCGTCCGCGTCACGTAACATCTGTTTACGCGGCAGCCTAGCAGCCGCGGCCCAGGTGCGCCGCCATTTTGTTGCTTATGCCGACAGTTATGGCTCTGAAATGCGACCTTTGGAGGTTTAGACACGAACAGGCTTTGACAATATGTCAGCTCGCTTTACCTCAAGGACGGCAGTCAGTGCCTCCTGTATTATAAATCTAATTTCACCAGGCACGTCAGCAAAATATTGTAACCGCTGGGAAAGCTGATTTTGCTGAACGATGTGGTTTATTTACTGCATAGCTTATTGCCAGGCTCTGAACCATTTACCAGTTGGTGACGCAGAAACTGATTCCCGGGTACTTGAGGGTCCCTTGCCCTTCCATCTTGACATCGACTGCAGTCGGGTAGGAAAGGTACTCCTCTGTGATGCGCGACGCCTGGTACAAGAACACACAGAGCAGCAGGAAGAAGGACGCGACCTTGAGGCACCGCCACAGGATCTGGCTGCAAGGAGACAATTTCGCCCGAATTCAAGAATGCCACTTCACTTAATATAAGATCTGGTCTCTAATCGGATATTGTCACGGAAGACAAGTGAAGAAAGAACGAGTAGCTGATAAAACTAGATGTTTAATGCGGCGAACTTCTGCCAAAATAAAAGTACAATAATGGACGTCGATGTCGGCGAGGCAGCGGGGTCTGGCGCTAGCGGAAAACTGACCTCTCGTGTAGCTTATAGCGGCTGTTTTTATATACGACCTGCGTTCATAAAGGTTTTTATTTGAAATACAAAGTAACTGACGAAAATGCACGGGAACCTTCTTGCAAAACAACGAAAAGTAAACTGCAAAACGGACAGCAGGATTTGAACCGAATTATCACGAGCGGGAGGCGCATGCACCGTCATCTCGGCGACACAAGGTCAATATATTAATAGAGAATGTTGATGGGAGAAGGAAGGTTTCTTTGTTCTTTTAATATTATTCAGGAGTGATTGCGTTCCTTATTCAAGTAGGAATGGGTCATAAAAATGAAAGGCGTTTACGATGTTCTGTAACGCTGAATTAGAACGCAGCTCTTAAGGAGGAGGAGGGAAGGGTATGCCCCTCTTCCTTCCCCGCTAAATTTAGCGTGGAACTTTTACCTTCTTGACGTCACACGTGATGTCGTGTGCGACGTTACTTGTGTCGTCACATGTTACGTCACGAGGGTAAATTTAACGGAAATATTTTCCCGCCAAACTTAGCGAGAATATTGAGAATGTTAGACCCGTGTAACGTCACGTAACGTCATACGTCACGTGTTTTTTTATAATAACGTCAGACGTGACGTCACGCGTGACGTCACGAGAGTAACGTCGGAACGTCACCCTCGAGGCCCTCGTGAGGGTAACCCTCGTAACTCTTGTGAGGCTAATCCTCGTGGACCTCATGGGGGTAACCCTCGTGACCCTCGTAAGGGTAACCCTACAAACCCTCACGAGGGTAACCCTCGTGACGTCACGTGTAAAGTCCTTATGAAAAACGCCCCATAATGCAACGCGCGGTTACGCCGACACCGACGCCGACGGTGACGCCGTTCAAGCCGGAAACGGGCGCCTAAGAGCTGCGCTCTAAAAATGAAAGATGTTTACAAATCTCTGTAATGTGAAATTAGAGCGCAGCTCTTGAGGAGGAGGAGGGTAGGGTTAGGGTACGGAGGGGAGGGTATGCCCGCCCTGCTTCTCATCGATACCCTCCCCTTCTTCTCCTACGTAGCCTACCATCCTCCTCCATACCCTCCCCTCCACCTCGTCTATACCCGCCCCTCCTCCCACAGTTTCCCCGCTAAATCTAGCTTTAAAATTGATGCCACGTGACCTTAACGCTAATCCAGTTTTTCTGCTAAATTCAGCGGGGAAAATGACGTCACATGACTTCGTGTGACGTCACCCAGGAACAAATTCAGTATTCTCCGCTAGATTTAGCGGAAAGATTGTCGTCACGTGATCTCAACACCAATTCAATTTCCCGCTAAATTTAGCGGGGCGGTTATGGCGACGGCGACGCTGCTATACGCGGAAACGGGCGCCTAAAGGCCCGCCCACACTAGCGATAAACACGCGGTTCGCAAAACCCGTTGAGCGGAAAGATTTTCCTGCCGCAAAAAAAAATACCCCCTGTGCTTTTCCTCTTTTTTTTTTTTTTGCCGAATTGCTGGCATTGCATTGCATCAGCATTACTGGGACGGACGCGCCAATCAGAGGCGTCACATATAGTGACGTGGGATGCCATGGCAATGCTTTGGAGCCAAAGTTGAGCCGCCGTGTAATGGCGAGCTAGCCAAGCTTCTTTTTGACATGAGCCCGGACAACGACACCAGGACCATAGAGCGTTTTATTGAAACGGTACGCATGTACCCATTTCTATATCATAAAAAGCAGCCCGAGTTCAAGGATAAAGGTGCGAAGCTGAACCGATGAGCCATCATCGGCGAGGATTCGGGCCTCACCGGTGAGTTTTTTTCGTGACCCCTGTTGTATGTTCATCGTCACTCGAGTTGTGTGAAGGACTCTCGTGCCGACTTCGTGATGTTAGCGCAGGGGTTCCCGAAGTGGGTTCCGAATCAACGTGTGCGCGAAGTCTCCTGCGCTGTCACGTAACTGCCGCGGCTGCGAAACGTTAGCTGGTGTGGTCTTCAGAATACGGGGCGCGTCTTGCCGTGCACGGTGTGCCGCGCGCGTTTTCTCGCAAGTGTGGACGGGCCTTAAGAGCTGCGCTCTAAAAACATGAAATGGGTGCCTGTGCCTATTTCGAACTGATTTTGAATGTGCCAGTGCCATATTTATACATATCAATGGCTACGTTTACATGGATGCGACAACAGCGCTACGGATCCAGTTAGCGAATCGAATCCACTTCAAACACTAAGTTTACACGGATTCGGATCGACCAGTAGCGGCACCTCGTGTCGAAGGATCACAACGCAAACCTCGTGACCTTCAGACCGTTTCCGACGTGTCCGGTTTGCCTAGCGGCATGCTAAGCAAACCTCCCGTAATCCCTCTCTCGAACACTCGATTCGATCCGCTAGCGTGTACATGGAGAGTCTCGATTCGGATTGACCATCTCAAACCACCCCGTCCCAGCGGATCGGATCGGATCCGATCCGATCCGATCCGAGTTGTTTACATGGACCGATTCGATTCGTTAACTAGATCCGATGCGCTGCAGTCACAGCCATGTAAACGTAGCCAATGATGTAGTCGAACGTGGTAGATGCAACGTGGGAAAAAAGAAAAAAAAAAGACACGTCTTTTTAAGTCTTAAGAAGCTAAGCATCGCAACGAGACTTCGGTTGCCTCTGAGGCTCCCAGCAGGTTCTTTTTCAAGTAAAAATAATGAAAGAGGCCGCGCGGGCAGCACCTTTCTTTGAAAGGCTCGCAACGGGTATGTATTTGCTTCTTTATTTAGAAATGAGACAACCTATGCATTCCCATTTGCGTTTGAGGTGACAATATTTCGCTGGCGCTTCAAATTGAGACGTGCGGATGGAATTATAATCCGCACTAAGGCTCCCAGAGCACATGTAGGTAAGATATTTGTTGATACCCCCGGCACGGCCCGGAAGACGACGGCTGCAATAGGTATTCCCCGTGCCATAAAATTCACGCTACTAGGCAAACTCAAGTCGAGAAACTCGAATCAAAATTAACTGTTGGGCTAGTTGGCTACACATTGTATAAAAATTCAAAAGCGCAAACACCAAGGAAAAGAAGAGGGGACAGGACAGAGCGCTTACTCCAACTGGAAGTTTAATGCATTCCCCGAGGAAGACATAAAAGAAGAATTAGCCATGTGAAAGTAAAAAAGAAGAGAAAAAAAAAAAGAAGAAAAATTATTATTATAGTTTATAGATGCATTAAAAAAAATTTTTTAAACTAAATCTGACCCCTTGACACAAGCGAAAAAAGAATGTAATAAAAAAATTCAGAAGTATAAACAAAATCAGCAGGTCAAAGATAAGGTTAGAAAACATTAGAGTGACCCGCGTTAAGAAAAAAGGTCGAGGTATCTCATCTCTTTCTCGGACAGCGCTATTGACGGTGCGCTTATGCAAGCTTCCCCGAGAGACAATATTGCTTTCGCTTCATAGAATTCTCGGGATCTTTTTTTGTGGTAATGCTTGAGGATCTTAGTCTGTTGGAATATGGGTGTGCAGTGGCAGTCGCGGACATGTATGGCGAGATGTCCCGATGGTGATGATTTCAGAGAAAGGTGATGCTCTCGAAGTCTCACGTTCACACAGCGCCCAGATTGTCCGACGTAGACTTTTCCACATGTGAATGGAATTTCGTATACTACGTTGATGTTGCAGTTGACGTACTTGTGCGTATGCTTGATGGTGCACTTGTTGTTATTTTCATTTTGCGTATTAATCTTAGGACACAATTTTTTGAGTTTGTTTGGAGCTGAAAGTACCACTGGTACTTCATACTTTGAGCCTATCCGTTTCAAGTTGTGGGATATGTTGTGGAAGTAGGGTATCACTGCCAGCCGCGTTTTCTTCTCGCAATTTCGTTGTCCTCTTCCCTTGGGAGTTGTAAGACATTCTGCTACATCAAACAATAATGAATTGGTGTATCCAGAATCCAGCAGCCTCTGCACTTGTGCTTCGAAACTACGCTTAGCCGTGTGTTCACAGGACTTGTGCAGAGCCGCTTTGAAGCAACTTTGCACTATTCCTCTTTTGATGATCTTAGAGTGGGCAGAATCAAAAGGTAGGAGTCTTTTTTTGGACCGTGGTGCATAAGTCCAACAAGTGTGTGATTCTTCAAAGGACAGTTGTAAATCTAAAAATTGAAGCTTGCTATTAGTAGGTAACTCGTGTGTGAATTTGAGTCCTTGAGCTTGTGTCATGAAAGTGTTGCTTATGATGTTGAACGTAGCAGAATCATATTGGTCAGGTCCGATGGAAAGTAAAACGAGATAGTCATCGACGTATCTAAAGATACGTCGATGACTATCTCGTTTTACTTTCCATCGGACCTGACCAATATGATTCTGCTACGTTCAACATCATAAGCAACACTTTCATGACACAAGCTCAAGGACTCAAATTCACACACGAGTTACCTACTAATAGCAAGCTTCAATTTTTAGATTTACAACTGTCCTTTGAAGAATCACACACTTGTTGGACTTACGCACCACGGTCCAAAAAAAGACTCCTACCTTTTGATTCTGCCCACTCTAAGATCATAAAAAGAGGAATAGTGCAAAGTTGCTTCAAAGCGGCTCTGCACAAGTCCTGTGAACACACGGCTAAGCGTAGTTTCGAAGCACAAGTGCAGAGGCTGCTGGATTCTGGATACACCAATTCATTATTGTTTGATGTAGCAGAATGTCTTACAACTCCCAAGGGAAGAGGACAACGAAATTGCGAGAAGAAAACGCGGCCGGCAGTGATACCCTACTTCCACAACATATCCCACAACTTGAAACGGATAGGCTCAAAGTATGAAG